GCACACTCGATGACCCCTGACGTTACAGGGCGCTGTTGCGCCGGTGTATTTGTTAACATATAAGAAATTATAGGATATTGTCATATGTTTAAACGGTTTGTGGTACTGTATTATAAGGCAAATCGAGCTAACCCATTTAATAACAACACACCATTATAAAAAGTATTCGATGACATCACATGTGGGGGGCACTATTTTTGGAATCAGGTAGCCATTCAGGTGGCGTCGGAAGCACTGTGCAACGGACTCGACAACATCTTCTCTATTCCTAGACAGAGAATCTACTTCAGATATTTCACAAAACACCATAGATGCATAGACACACCACATATGCATCGTAATACTGCATTATTAATATTAGGGTAACGCTATTTTTCAGGGCATTATCATGTACAGAAAGGATAGGTCTTCCATTAACTGTCCGACGAAGGAGGGCAGTTGAAAAGACCGAGATCTTCTGCCAGTGATAATGTCCTGAAAAATAGCTTTACCGTTATTATATCTGAAAAGGATAGAATTTATCAAATATAAGTTAACAACAATATCGGCTTTGAAACATTTACTTCAATCAACACATAACGAATGTCAATGACCCACTTTAGCAAATATGGAAACGTCAAAGAACAAAACAGATGACGTCACTATATATTGAATAATCCTGTCGTGGGCGTGATAGCTATAATGATAATTATAGTACATGTATTATATAGGTCAAGTCCGTGAGGTTTGCAGTTGCCTGATCCATCGCAGGATTTGCGAACAAATACGTTCAAAAGAGAGGGGGGCAGGGGTGGCCCAGTCGTCTAAGGCGACACGATTCGCTGTGCAGAGTTGCGTCCCTTGGGTACGCCAGAAACCTATGATTGTGAGTTTGAATCCCGGTTCGCCCCGATTATGTTTCTAGGTTGTCAGCACCTCATCCGTGCTTCACCGAAGTGGTAAACGTCTGAGACCTGCATCACTTCGACATGCCCTCATATAGATTGCCAAAAAAGTGTTATAATATGATGATAGTTTATGATAATAATGGGAAAAGAAACTGGGTTACATGTGTTAGAGAATTACTTTTCAGTTGTGGCTTTGGTGATATTTGGCAAAACCAAAATGTGTATTCCAAATCAATGTTTATACTTTCATTAACCCAGAGATTAAAAGATATTTATTTACAATCTTGGACAGCATCATTGACTCTAACAAACAAGTGCTTTTATTACAAAATGTTTAAATCAGAAATAATTATGGAATATTATTTATCAAAAGTTAATGTTAAAAAATTTCGAACGGCTCTTTCACGTTTTAGATGTTCTTCTCACGACCTTTTAATAGAAACAGGGCGCTTTGTAAACATTCCTCGTGAAGAAAGAATCTGTAATCTATGTAGTTTAAACTCAGTAGAAGATGAATTTCATTTCTTACTAGTATGTCCAGTGTATTTACACCTTAGAAAAAAATATCTGCAAGCTTATTATTACAGGTACCCTAATATTATTAAATTTGTTACACTGCTGTCAAACACAAAAAGAAGTATCTTACAAAATGTTTCCATGTACATATATTTTGCCTCTTTATACCGACAGAACCTTATGAAAGAATAATCTTATCTGCTTGGTATTAGGAAACTATTGTGTATATACATTAAGTACATATTTATAGATATTTGCCTTATGAATAAACTACAAACAAAAGAGTTAGAAATGGTATTAAACTACTAGGCTGTCATATGATATTGTGGGATGTGATATTACAAATGGTTTAGTATAGTTATATGTATATGAAATGATATGATGTGACATGACATGATGTGATATGATATGATAAGTGTTGTGGTGTGATATGATACATGAGGGAATATGATGCAACATATTATGTGTATTATAGAAATTGTGTAAATACTGTTTTTTTTAGTGTACATATTTTATGGCTTGCGGTCTTCCAGTGTTGAATAAATATTGATTGATTTATATGAAATAAATTGGCATGGAATGACATGGCATTATATGGTATGATATGATAAGATATGATGGGACAAGCTATGAAATTGCTAATGTGTTGTGTGATATGACATGTTGAAATGTGATATGATATAGGGGTGATATATGGTACGATGGTATGTATGGTATGTTATGATATGATAATGGTATCTTATAATCTTATAATAATGATACAATATGATATGATGTTATAGAATATGTTGTATGATATAACAAGTTGTGATATGGTAAAATAGAAATTATGAAATTACAGGGTATGGTATTGTACTGTATGTGTGAAATTATGTGACTGCGTTGAGATGTGAGGTGGAATGACGTGAGGTGATTTGGTGAGATATGTACATAAATTGTATAAAATTGTATATTCTTCAAATTGTACTATAGGCCTGTGGCCTCTTCAGTATGTGAAATAAAGATTGGAATCCCGGTTCGCCCCGATAATGTTTCTATGTTTGTCAGCACCATACCCATGCTTGTGGGTTTCACTGAAGAGGTAAACGTCTGAGACCTGCATCACTTCGGGCTTTCCTCCCACATTAAGCCGACATGCCGTGATATAACTGGAATGCTGTTAAAAAGCGGCGTTAAACCTATCTCACTCACTCACAATAGAGAGAGAATAGAGACTTTTGATTTGTTGTATTGCTAGCATCTTGGCCTCACATAAAGGTTCAGAGCATTATTAATAAACAAAACATTACGATGAAAATATCATCACAACAGTCATCGCCGCGTATACTTACGACCTTGACCTTCGTGTTGTAAATTGTCCTCAGATTGGACCAAGTGGTCAGTCTGATTAAAATTAGATCCTAGTTCTTGCTACCGCTTTCAAAGTTTGTTTCAAGAAGATTGTCAGTTGGAAACTAGTGCCGTAAAGCTTGTGAAAGCTGCTTTCTGATCTGCCAATGTTGACTTCTTGTTGGTCGTTTCAAGTTTGGGAAAGGTCGTTCAGACGTGACCTCTAATGGGATGTCTCCGGATCTTCGTGAAGCGGCGGCGGGCACTGAGATCTGATTTTGATGAGATTGTAGAAATTTCGTCTTCATATCAGTTAACCGATTCAATTCCGTGTCGTGAATCTTTCTTGCTCCGAAATTGAACAAATGGTGTACCTTCACGGTTATTACACTTAATCTCATAACAGATAACTCCGTGGTCTTGTGGTAAAGCGTCCGCCCGGAGAGCGGAAGGTCCAGTGTTCGATCCCGGGCCGCGTCATACAAAAAGACGTTAAAAGATTGTACTTGTTGTTACCCTGTCTGGCGCTCGGCATTAAGGGGCTAAAACAAGGACTGGTCGGCTTGGAGTCAGTATACTGTGTCTGAGTGGGGTATTCATGTTAAACTGCGGCATGGTATCTCAGTGAGCTAGCACTATAAATCGGCATCAGTCCGGACTAGTACAAGCAGCCACACACACACATACACGTGCATGCACGTCGCTATATAAGTGCAATAATCTTGGACGCGACGTTAAACCCAATTTCACCACCTCATAACAGATAAACTATCTGCTGACTCAAAAGAAATTCCAGTCATGTCACATGGCGTATGAATCGACGAGTCGACCATTTCACGGGCTCCCTCACCTGCACTGTTCAAACTGACTTCACATCCATTGACTTATGTTTATTTGACAGTGCTTTGGGTTTCAAGCAGCTTTGAACTACAGAATTTCAGCAAAATCACACCGCTTTAGCTAAATGTGGGCGGAACGCATGTGATGCAGGTCTCAGGCGTTTACCACTTTGGTGAAACCCATCAGCTAGGGCATTGTGCTGACAAACCGTGGATGTTTAGTAGGGCTGATTTACCAAACATCGAGATTTTTCTCCCACGTCATGCTTAAACGTCGCTATGTACACATCCAACACGTTTCTCATATCTGTTACATATTGCCCAAAATAGTCCCTTCTGCACGTGATGTTATTAAAAACACTTTTTATATAACGGTGTATTGTTATTGATCGGGTGATCTCTTCACGAGTGAGTGATAAGTACTGTTACGGCACATTAAATCTACCATTCTGTAATCAGAGGACACTTTACCCAGCCAAAAAATCCTTCTTCCAAGAATTCACTCGCCATTCTGAACAATATTTATACATGGACAGGTAAAAGTGACACAATTATAGATTGTTATGCAAAATTATGGAAACAATTTAAATCAACTATAGCATGGTCGGAGTCCCCATTACGCAATATATAATTATATTACACGACCTAGTTACTGGTCAATATTGTGTGTGTGTGTGTGTGTGTGTGTGTGTGTGTGTGTGTGTGTGTGTGTGTGTGTGTGTGTGTGTGTGTGTGTGTGTGTGTGTGTTGTGTTGTGTTGTGTTGTGTTGTGTTGTGTTGTGTTGTGTTGTGTTGTGTGTGTGTGTGTGTGGTGTGTGTGTGTGTATTTTCTGTATGAATTTGTTGTTTTGTTTGTGAACCCAGTGACTGACAGCATGAGCACCGATTAATGCAATTGTGACACAACCCGGAATATTCTCAAGGATCATTGCATTCCTCTGGTTATAGCTGTAGTTATGCCTTACGTGGAATTAATGACAATATATGATAAAAGATCTAAAATGAAATGATAAAACACACTTAAAATTCCAAAATTAATCATCCATATTTCATAATCCGTCATTTTTAAACGACTCCACTTTTTCTATAGGAGTCTTTAACCATCCGCATTTCTCCTTCTGCCTCTTTTACCCCCAGGACTCCCTGTGCCGAGTTGCGTCCCTTAGTCACATCAGAAGCTTGTGGTCGTGGTTCGAATTCCGGTTCGCACTGATTATGTTGCTAGGTTTGTCAGCACCACACCCGTGCTCGTGGGTTTCACCAAATTGGTAAACGACTGAGACCTGCTTCATTTCGGGTTTTCCTCCTACATTAAGCTGGCACGTCATGATATAACGGGAATACTGTTAAAAGCGGCGTTAATTCGAACTCACTCATCACTTTCACTTTTAAATAAATACATTTAATTTATCTGTATCTATATACTCACAAACTCACATCTACTGTCTGCAGAGTATGCCTCGTTAATCCCGTGGGTTACTTGCTGGAGCGTTCGGCGATGTCGTTATCTACGGCAACAACAGTACTAGTGGCTCACGTCACCACCAACGACTCCTCAACGTCTTCATCAACTTTCAAAGCAGGTGTCGTTGTCTGGTTCTCGTCTCACTGTCTCTATCGACTAGTCTAACATCCGGGAACAACATGACATAGTGGTATTCACTGCTGTAACAGCTGTTGTATTGCGAAACGCTTTGGGTAACTGCTGGCAGTGTTGTTTTGAATCACGCGACAACAGATTATGGATCTCAGTTCAAGGTTCAAAGGTTGTTCCAAACAACGGTTAGCAGCATCGCAATTGAACCTTTACATTGCCGCTGACACGATTATGGTGTGGATTACAGGCAAGTGTTGTCTATATATTGCTTTGAGTCAGACGATTTGGTTACGTGTGGTAGAGTGGCTCGAGAACAATACTGTTACCCGTCTATAGCCTGCCTCAGGCTTGGCTTTCCTCCAACATCAAACTGACATGCCGTTATATGCTATACATAACAATATAGGGGTCAGCAACTGACATAGCGTTGAAAGCAACGTTAACCACACTTACGCACTCACTATAAATGGCGTACACTATAAATGGTGTTCGTACAGTTATATGTCAAGACCCTTCACCCACATCCTCTATATCTCTACTTACCGTAGTTACAACCATTCTCAGAATTAAAGTTATTCCTTAGTGTAGAAAATATTTAGAATTCTCTAAGAGTTACACTTAAGTCTAAGAGTTTATAAAGCCTCTTTAGACTTAAGATTACTCTAAGAGTGGGCAAAGTTAGGAGTCCCCCCCAGAGGACACCAAGTCAAAAGAATTTTAAATGGCTGCGCTCGACAACGCAGCCGTCACCTCAGACATTTTTAGGACGGAAAGACGATTTAACTATTTACATTTGCCATGAATTAATCAAAAGATTTCGTTAGCGGGAATCATTTTTGTGACTGATCTGGTTGGAGACTCATTGCGATCACCCACTGAACGAATTTTGGCTATAGCCCCTGAGCTGCAAGTTGCTTTTACCTTGCGCTATTACGCAACAGGTAAAATGCAATTGTGCAATGGAGATGACTTGGTACCATCACAGTCAAAGGTCAGCAGTCTCATCAATGACATGATGAATGTCTTGACTCGTATTTAGACGCAATTCAAAAAATTCCAAATTCATGTACGTGAAATACAAAGAAACGGGTGCGTTCATGAACATTGCAGGTTTCACAGGTGTCGTTGGTGCTATTGACGGTATGTTCGATTATTTTAGGATAATGCTTTTGCAGAAGTAGATGCTGCACCATTGCAAGAAAAAACACAAAGACTTGAGTTGGATGTAAGGCCACAGGTTTATATACAGAAAAGTACAAGGAGAACTGGAGAACACTCCTGGGCTGGGAAACGCTAAACATGGCTGACTGTCAACCCGAAGGTGCCCGGACAGAACAGCAAACGCGGCTCCGGGGGTAATCTATACAGAGCCAAATGATGGGACCCCCCAGGGAAAAGCACATAGGGGGTCTGCTGTAGGCTCTACAACCACCATTATACAATAGAGCTTAGAGGGTACGCCTCAAAGACCCCCAAAACACCAAAATCACAACTCCCAGCCCAAAAGTGTTCCGCGACGCGTACAAACCAATTGTCGTGCGATGTAATGTGTAGAATGTGCCAGTCCAGGATCATCTCACCTGTTGTGCGCATACAAACCCGTGACTTGCTCGACACGTTTGTGCCAGGACAGCTCTTGCCTCGCATATATTAACTTGTCCACAACTACAATATAAAGGAAAACAAGCAGCAGAACATGTTCCTGATACATGAAGCATACAAATACATGAAATTAGATTAACTATCAACTGAGGAATTGTTATACAGATATATATGTTTGAAATGAGAAGAGTGGGTGGGATGGGAGGGAAAAAGCGTGTTACTGGTGTGGTTGTGTGAATGAAAAGATGATGTAGTAACTAAATTAAGCTGAAACATGGATTACTTCCCTTTGTTTAGTGCATGTGAAGAGCAAAGACTTGAATAATATACTAATAAGGTGCCTTGCACTATTAAACCAGGAAGAGTAGCTTCCCTTTGACCCTGGACCACAAAAACAGGGGGAGAAGGCCCCTTGAATTGGAATAATGTAAGATTACCAAAATAATGCATTTTATTAGTTAGTAATAAACTTGCACCACGAGATCATGAGGCAGACTACGCGTACCGAAAGCACTTTCACAGTATAAACACACAGGTTGTTTTTGACGCTGATTATAACATTTTGGATGTGGTTACGAAGTGGCCTTGTTCAACCCAGATGCTCGCATTTTAAATGAGAGTGATCTCAAGTGCTGTTTGAGAGGGGCCACAGGCCCGGGATCGCAACAGACACGCCAGTTATCAGGGGATGAGAGCAGGTTATCAGGGAATCGCCACAGACACACAGATTATTAGGGGATGAGAGCAGGTTATCAGGGAATCGCCACAGACACACAGATTATCAGGGGATTAGAGCAGGTTATCAGGGAATCGCCACAGACACACAGGTTATCAGGGAATTGCCACAGACACACAGATTATCAGGGGATGAGAGCAGGTTATCAGGGAATCGCCACAGACACACAGGTTATCAGGGAATTGCCACAGACACACAGATTATCAGGGGATGAGAGCAGGTTATCAGGGAATCGCCACAGACACACAAATTATCAGGGGATGGGAGCAGGTTATCAGGGAATCGCCACAGACACACAGGTTATCAGGGAATTGCCACAGACACACATATTATCAGGGGATGAGAGCAGGTTATCAGGGAATCGCCACAGACACACAGATTATCAGGGGATGAGAGCAGGTTATCAGGGAATCGCCACAGACACACAGATTATCAGGGGATGAGAGCAGGTTATCAGGATATCGCCACAGACACACAGGTTATCAGGGAATTGCCACAGACACACAGATTATCAGGGGATGAGAGCAGATATCAGGGAATCGCCACAGACACACAGATTATCAGGGGATGAGAGCAGGTTATCAGGAATCGCCACAGACACATAGGTTATCAGTGGATGAGAGCAGGTTATCAGGGAATTGCCACAGACACACAGGTTATCAGGGAATTGCCACAGACACGCAGGTTATCAGGGGATTGTCACAGACACGCAGGTTATCAAGGGATTGTCACAGACACGCAGGTTATCAGGGGTTTACAGCAGACACGCAGGTTATCAGGGGTTTACAGCAGACACGCAGGTTATCAGGGGATTGTCACATACACGCAGGTTATCAGGGGATCACAGCAGACACGCAGGTTATCAGGGGATTGCCATAGACACGCAGGTTTTCAGGGGTTTACAGTAGACACGCAGGTTATCAGGGGACCACAGCAGACACGCAGGTTATCAGGGGATCACAGCAAACACGCAGGTTATCAGGGGATCACAGCAGACACACAGGTTATCAGGGGATCACAGCAGACACTCAGGTTATCAGGGGACTGCATCGACACGCAGGTTATCAGGGGATTGCCATAGACACGCAGGTTATGGGGGATTGCAATAGACACGCGGGTTATCAGGGGATCACAGCAAAAACGCAGGTTATCAGGGGATTGTCACAGACACGCAGGTTACCAGGGATATACAGCAGACACGCAGGTTATCAGGGGATTGCCATAGACACGCAGGTTATCAGGGGTTTACAGCAGACACGCAGGTTATCAGGGGATCACAGCAGACACGCAGGTTATCAGGGGATCACAGCGGACACGCAGGTTATCAGGGGACCACAGCAGACACGCAGGTTATCAGGGGACCACAGCAGACACGCAGGTTATCAGGGGACCACAGCAGACACGCAGGTTATCAGGGGATCACAGCAGACACGCAGGTTATCAGGGGACCACAGCAGACACGCAGGTTATCAGGGGATCACAGCAGACACGCAGGTTATCAGTGGACCACAGCAGACACGCAGGTTATCAGGGGATCACAGCAGACACGCAGGTTATCAGGGGTTTACAGCAGACACGCAGGTTATCAGGGGATCACAGTAGACACGCAGGTTATCAGGGAATTGCCATAGACACGCAGGTTATCAGGGGATGGCCATAGACACGCAGGTTATCAGGGGTTTACAGCAGACACGCAGGTTATCAGGGGTTTACAGCAGACACGCAGGTTATCAGGGGATCACAGCAGACACGCAGGTTATCAGGGGATGGCCATAGACACGCAGGTTATCAGGGGTTTACAGCAGACACGCAGGTTATCAGGGGACCACAGCAGCCACGCAGGTTATCAGGGAATTGCCATAGACACGCAGGTTATCGGAGATTGCCATAGACACGCAGGTTATCAGGGGTGTACAGCAGACACGCAGGTTATCAGGGGACGAAAGCAGACACGCAGGTTATCAGGGAATTGCCATAGACACGCAGGTTATCGGGGATTGCCATAGACACGCAGGTTACCAGGGGATCACAGCAGACGCGCAGGTTATCAGGGGATTGCCATAAACACGCAGGTTATCAGGGGTTTACAGCAGACACGCAGGTTATCAGGGGTTTACAGCAGACACGCAGGTTATCAGGGGTTTACAGCAGACAGGCAGGTTATCAGGGGTTTACAGCAGACACGCAGGTTATCAGGGGTTTACAGCAGACACGCAGGTTATCAGGGGATCACAGCAGACACGCAGGTTATCAGGGGATCACAGCAGACACGCAGGTTACCAGGTGATTGTCACAGACACGCAGGTTACCAGGGGATTGTCACAGACACGCAGGTTACCAGGGAATCACAGGGGACACGCAGGCTACCAAGGAATCGCCACATACACGCAGGTTACCAGGTGATTGTCACAGACACGCAGGTTACCAGGGGATTGTCACAGACACGCAGGTTACCAGGGAATCACAGGGGACACGCAGGCTACGAAGGAATCGCCACATACACTCAGGTTACCAGGGGATTGTCACAGACACGCAGGTTACCAGGGAATCACAGGGGACACGCAGGCTACCAGGTGATTGTCACAGACACGCAGGTTACCAGGGGATTGTCACAGACACGCAGGTTACCAGGGAATCACAGGGGACACGCAGGCTACGAAGGAATCGCCACATACACTCAGGTTACCAGGGGATTGTCACAGACACGCAGGTTACCAGGGAATCACAGGGGACACGCAGGCTACCAGGTGATTGTCACAGACACGCAGGTTACCAGGGGATTGTCACAGACACGCAGGTTACCAGAGAATCACAGGGGACACGCAGGCTACCAGGGAATCACAGGGGACACGCAGGCTACCAGGGAATCACAGGGGACACGCAGGCTACCAGGGAATCACAGGGGACACGCAGGCTACCAGGGAATCACAGGGGACACGCAGGCTACCAGGGAATCACAGCAGACACACAGGTTACCAGGGAATCACAGGGGACACGCAGGTTACCAGGGAATCACAGGGGACACGCAGGTTACCAGGGAATCACAGGGGACACGCAGGCTACCAGGGAATCACAGGGGACACGCAGGCTACCAGGGAATCGCCACATACACGCAGGTTATCGTCTTATAACCGTAGAGATACAGGTTCTCCGGGAGACATCACCCCCGTCAATACAACTGACTCTGTCTACAGATGTTATTAAAGTGGCGCCAACCCGGCCGTTCCCTGTAGCGCCTGGCCTTGGCTGCATTGTGAACCGGACTCCGAGCTGGAATACTAGTACTGGTGCACAATGCACCTCGCTAAAAACATTCCAATAGGGTGTTTAATTGGATAGTCGGCTTTCCATAGCCTTCAGATATGTAACCCTGTACACAAATTTCGAAATAACGTTAATATCTCCTTTACAATTTCACTCAACAATATCCCAATATCACGTGTCATTTCAATCTCAGTGTAGTCTTACAACAAAAGAAAATAATCAGTCCAAACAGGAAGGTGCTGCCTATAGAATGTGGACACAACTGACATTATTATGCTGCTGAACCTATCTCACATGCCTGTACTTAATAGCTAGCCTGCTATGGAGGTGTGAGAAATATCCGCATGTACTATATGGCAAAGTTTGCAGTTAGACAAGGTAACCGCTTATCCTCATGACAAACTTTGGCAGGATGACAAGACAAGCCTTTGGATGTTTTACCTCGCCATATTTAATAATGGGTCGCAGGTAATATTTAATGAATAATCTCAAACTTTTCATTTCCAATAGTATCAAGTTGCTGTGCAGAGTTGCGCCCCTTTGTCCCGCCGCGGCCCGATGGAAGTGTGTTCGACTCCAAGACACGCGACTTATTTCACACTTTGTGCAGAAACATATTACACATTACCAGTCCCAATCAAATGTTGAGTAGTATATGCCTCGACACTGATATGTATATCCGTATCAAACGTTGAATAGTATATGATTCGATAATGATATGTATATCCCAATCAAACGTTGAACAGTATATGCCTTGGCAATGATATGTTTATCCGTATCAAACGTTGAATAGTATATGATTCGATAATGATATGTATATCCCAATCAAACGTTGAACAGTATATGCCTTGGCAATGATATGTTTATCCGTATCAAACGTTGAATAGTATATGATTCAACAACGATATGTATATCCGTATCAAACGTTTAACCGTATATGCCTCGACAATGATATGTATATCCCAATCAAACGTTTATTAGTATCTGCCTCGACAACGATATGAATATCCGTATCAAACGTTAAATAGTATATGATTCAACAACGAGATGTATATCCGTATCAAACGTTGAACAATATAGGATTCAACAACGATATGTATATCCGTATCAAACGTTGAACAATATAGGATTCAACAATGATATGTATATCCGTATCAAACGTTGAATAGTATATGATTCAACAACGATATGTATATCCGTATCAAACGTTAAATAGTATATGATTCAACAACGATATGAATATCCGTATCAAACGTTAAACAGTTCATGATTCAACAACGATATGTATATTCCAATTAAACGTCGAATAGTATATGCCTCGACGACGATATGTATATCCCAATTAAACGTTGAATAGTATATGCCTCAAAACGATGTCTAATATCCCAATCAAACGTTAAACAGTATATGCGTCAACAACGATATGTACATAAAAAAAACGTTGAACAGTATATGCCTCGACAACGATATATAATTCCGTATCAAACGTCGATTAGTATATGAGTTGCGCCCCTTGGACACGCCAGAAACCTATGATTGTAGGTTCGAATCCCGGTTCGCCCCGATAATGTTTCTAGGTTTGTCAGCACCATACCCGTGCTCGTGGGTTTCACCGAAGTGGTAAACGTCTGAGACCTGCATTACTTCGCGCTTTCCTCCCACATTAAGCTGACACGCCGTGATATAACTGGAATACTGTTAAAAGTGGCGTTAAAACCAACTTCCTCACTCATTTATTCAGATCTGACCATATTCGTTGTAAGAGAAGTCGAGACATTGTCAGCACAGCATGACAACTGATGAAACATGTTTGTTAATGAACCTACACTATGCCGAGTTGCGTCCCTTGGGCACGTCAGAAACCTATGATTGTGGGTTCGAATCCCGGTTCGCCCCGATTATGTTTCTAGGTTATCAGCACCACACCCGTGCTCGTGGGTTTCACCGAAGTGGTAAACGTCTGAGACCTGTATCGCTTCGAGCTTTCCCCCCACATTAAGCTGACACGCCGTGATATAACTGGAATACTGTTAAAAGTGGCGTTAAAACCAACTCACTCACTCATTAATTCAGATCTGACCATATTCGTTGTAAGAGAACTGATGAAACATGTTTGTTTATTAACCTACACCATGCACATCTTTGCATGGACCCTCCTCAGACGGGAGGACGGAATCAAACCATCTCTTGGTTCACGCGGCACTTTATGATAATGCAGTTACACGTGTATTCATTTCACCTGGAATGGCAATAACTATTTTTCTTGGTTTGTGAACGTCTATCCGTGCTTGTGGGTTTACCCAAAGTAGTAAACCTCAAAGACCAGCACCATTCTGGGGTTTCCTCTGTTTGTTTGGTTGGTTGTTTGGTTGGTTGTTTGGTTGGTTGATTGGTTGGTTGATTGGTTGGTTGGTTGGTTGTTTGGTTGGTTGTTTGGTTGGTTGTTTGGTTGTTTGGTTGGTTGTTTGTTTGTTTGGTTGTTTGTTTGGTTGGTTGGTTGGTTGTTTGGTTGGTTGTTTGGTTGTTTGGTTGGTTGTTTCGTTGGTTGGTTGGTTGGTTGGTTGGTTGGTTGGTTACTGCTGCACTCAGCAATATTCCAGCTATATGACGGCGGTCTGTAAATAATCGAGCGTGGACCAGACAATCCAGTAATTAATATCATGAGCATCGATCCACGGAATTTGGATACGATGGCATGCACCCGACTCTGTTAGTCGCCTCTTACGACAAGCATTGGTTGCTGAAGACCTATTCTAACCCGGATCTTCACGGGTCACATCAAGCTGACACCCTATGATGTTAGTGAACTTCTATAAGAGAGGTGTCAAAATAAACTAATCAGCAAATCAATAAATCAATAAATCCAGATTTTATTTAGAAAGGTCAATGTTATTCTTTACATTTTCATTGTAATACAAATCTGTTCTGGAAGTAAACTGCCGGGCAAAAGAAAGTATACACCCATGTTCGATGGTGGCTAAATATCAAACAAATAAGAAATGGTTGTTCAACGGTGATGTATTTGATACGGGTGTCATAGTTTTGATTTGGACCTTAACTTTGCAGTGTTTCAGTCGATTAACGTTTTAATAATGTTTGTAATGCTTTGGTCAAGTCCTATTTCCAGGGGGCACGGGTGGCCCAGTCGTCTAAGGCGCCGCAATTCGCTGTGCAGAGTTGCGTCCCTTGGGCACGTCAGAAACCTATGATTGTGGGTTCGAATCCCGGTTCGCCCCGATTATGTTTCTAGGTTGTCAGCACCTCATCCGTGCTTCACCGAAGTGGTAAACGTCTGAGACCTGCATCACTTCGAGCTTTCCTCCCACATTAAGCTGAATTGTCGTGATATAACTGGAATACTGTTAAAAGCGACGTTACACCAAACTCACTCACTCACTCACTCACTCACTCACTCCTATTTCCAAGTGTGTACTTTCTTTTGCCAAGCAGTTTAGGTCAGTCAAACTTCTAGGACATTCCCGGGCAGAGAAGATTCCTAGTAGTCCATTGATTTCGTAGCATCTATGGGGGAAGGTATATTTTCCACAGTATAGTATCAACAGGTCGCCGTGACCAAGATGGGATACGAGTGCCTGTGGCGTATAGCAATACGAAGGCAGGTCAAAAAGTTCTAACAAAACCAACAATGGAGAAAGTGTTTATAATTTCATATTTCAACATAATCTCCCTGCTTTTCAATACACTTCTCATATCGATAGTGAAGCTTTTCAATTCCGGTCAGGAAGACGTTTTCTGAAGCCACCCTGAAAAACCCACGGCAGCTTTGTGGTCTTCGTTGTCGTCATAGCGCTTTCTACGAAAGTGTTCTTACAGTTTAGGAAACAGGTGGAAATCACTTGGTGCCAGATCTGGCGAGTATGGAGGGTGGGGAAGCATTTCGAACATTTTGCACAGCAGCCTTTACAAATCGAGAGGCATTGTCATGAAGTAGTAGAAGTCCAGAAGTCAGAATTCCTCGCCGCTTTTCTCTGATAAGGCGATGAAGCAAATCAGTATAGTAGGCTCCGGTAATCGTCTTTTGACTTTCCAAGTTATCAACAAGGGTCACACACTTTACAGTGGCCATAACTGTAACTACTCAAACAATGTACTACATTGACTAGTTCATTTTGTTATGGCCCATAGTTGAAAGTTAGTCAGGCTTGACCGGCCCCCGTATTCATTCACTTACGGTCCATACAGTCAGTGACTTCAAGGGGAGACAAGGCAACCCGTTCCAACAGCCCAGTGAAGGTCCGGGGTAGAATAGGTCTTCAGCAACTCATGATTGTCGTAAGAGGAGACTATCGGGATCTGGTGGTCAGGCTCGCTGACTTTGTATGATGCATGTCATTGTCTCCCAATTTGAGTTGATCGATTATCATGATGTTAATCATTGTATTGTCTGGCCCAGACTCGATTATTTACAAACCACCGTCGCATAGCTGGAATATCGCTGAATGCGGCGTTAAACAACATACACATTTCCAACAGATGTGTTTAATTTGAAACAAGGCTTGGACATAGCCTCCCGACTTTTTATCCATATACACAAGCTTTCATGCCAAATTTACTTTACAATATCTCAGTTTATGCAGACACTGTGATTAGAATCATTCTCATTTCATTGCAACGAATGAATAAAATCAAACCAAAAGGACTGTGCAGTTTATAGAATGTGGTTTGTGGCTAAATAGTATATTCCTGATCTTATTCGGAACAATATATCTGTACTGCCTCACTGTTCTGTGGTTAAAACAATATTCAATATAACTTTGATTGTCGTGTCGTGTTTTCGTGATAATGATCGATAGGAGAAAGAGTCTTGCAATTGCGAGCGATGGCCAAGTTGTGACGAAAGTCGCTAACTGAGATATTAGAGTTTTAAAAGTGCGTCCCTTGTATGTAGGCAGGCTGTGACTCTGTGGTATCCCTTTCCTGATCAAGTTGTATGCTTCGTTTGCGTCGTTTGCGTCTTCTGGAACACGAGAATGTATCTGATGCTGTCATAATGCTGAGGGTTGGATATAACTTTTTTCAACATATTTCTTTTAAACAATCCCCAAGGCAGTCAGGACATGCACAGAAGGCTACAACCTACCCAAGTATACATATGCATGTGTTTACTGGGCCATGTCAGCACACCCAAGTGATACAGATTCACGTTTTACTCGGTTGGTTGGTTGGTTGTTTTACGCCGCACTCAGCTATAATCCAGCTATTTGACGGCGGTTTGTAAATATTCGAGTCTGGACCAGACAATCCAGTGATTGATACCATGACCATCGATCTACGCAATTGGGATCAATCAAGACCCCCCGATCTCGTTAGTCGCCTGTTACGACAGGCATAGACGCCTTTTACGGCAAGCATGGGTTGCAGAAGGCCTATTCTATCCCGGATCGTCACGGGTCCGTTTTAACTCGGCCTAGTCAGCACACTGAAATATACAGATGCACGTGTTTACTCGGCCTAGTCAGCACACCCAAGTATACAGATGCATGTGTTTACTCGGCCTAGTCAAATCACCCAAGTATACAAGGACACGTGTTTACTCGGCCTAGTCAGCACACTGAAATATACGGATGCACGTGTTTACTCGGCCTAGTCAGCACACTGAAATATACAGATGCACGTGTTTACTCGGCCAAGTCAAGTCACCCAAGCATGCAGATGCACGTGTTTACTCGGCCTAGTCAAGTCACCCAAGCATGCAGATGCACGTGTTTACTCGGCCTAGTCAGCACACTGAAATATACAGATGCACGTGTTTACTCGGCCAAGTCAAGTCACCCAAGCATGCAGATGCACGTGTTTACTCGGCCTAGTCAAGTCACCCAAGCATGCAGATGCACGTGTTTACTCGGCCTAGTCAGCACACTGAAATATACAGATGCACGTGTTTACTCGGCCAAGTCAAGTCACCCAAGCATGCAGATGCACGTGTTTACTCGGCCTAGTCAAGTCACCCAAGCATGCAGATGCACGTGTTTACTCGGCCTAGTCAGCACACTGAAATATACAGATGCACGTGTTTACTCGGCCAAGTCAAGTCACCCAAGCATGCAGATGCACGTGTTTACTCGGCCTAGTCAAGTCACCCAAGCATGCAGATGCACGTGTTTACTCGGCCTAGTCAGCACACTGAAATATACAGATGCACGTGTTTACTCGGCCAAGTCAAGTCACCCAAGCATGCAGATGCACGTGTTTACTCGGCCTAGTCAGCACACTGAAATATACAGATGCACGTGTTTACTCGGCCTAGTCAGCAAACTGAAATATACAGATGCACGTGTTTACTCGGCCTAGTCAGCACACTGAAATATACAGATGCACGTGTTTACTCGGCCAAGTCAAGTCACCCAAGCATGCAGATGCACGTGTTTACTCGGCCTAGTCAGCACACTGAAATATACAGATGCACGTGTTTACTCGGCCTAGTCAGCAAACTGAAATACACAGATGCACGTGTTTACTCGGCCTAGTCAGCACACTGAAATATACAGATGCACGTGTTTACTCGGCCTAGTCAGCACACTGAAATATACAGATGCACGTGTTTACTCGGCCTAGTCAGCAAACTGAAATATACAGATGCACGTGTTTACTCGGCCTAGTCAGCACACTGAAATATACAGATGCACGTGTTTACTCGGCCAAGTCAAGTCACCCAAGCATGCAGATGCACGTGTTTACTCGGCCTAGTCAGCACACTGAAATATACAGATGCACGTGTTTACTCAGCCTAGTAAGCAAACTGAAATATACAGATGCACGTGTTTACTCGGCCTAGTCAGCACACTGAAATATACAGATGCACGTGTTTACTCGGCCAAGTCAAGTCACCCAAGCATGCAGATGCACGTGTTTACTCGGCCTTGTAAGCACACTGAAATATACAGATGCACGTGTTTACTCGGCCAAGTCAAGTCACCCAAGCATCCAGATGCACGTGTTTACTCGGCCTAGTAAGCACACTGAAATATACAGATGCACGTTCTTACTCGGCCAAGTCAAGTCACCCAAGCATCCAGATGCACGTGTTTACTCGGCCTAGTCAGCACACTGAAATGTGCAGATGCACGTGTTTACTCGGCCTAGTCAGCACACTGAAATGTTCAGATGCACTTGTTTACTCGGCCTAGTCAAGTCACCCAAGCATGCAGATGCACGTGTTTACTCAGCCTAGTCAGCACACTGAAATATACAGGTGCACGTATTTACTCGGCCAAGTCAAGTCACCCAAGCATGCAGATGCACGTGTTTACTCAGCCTAGTTAGCACAACGAAATATACTGCTATGGAGCGTTTATGAATATTGTGGAAAGTGTTTGGGCTATATAAAGGACGAGTGCGTGACTATTTCATCTCTTACACATTTCCTCACACATTTTCATCTGAGAATACACCAAGACCAGCTTTCGTGTGAAGATCACTTATCACCCTGGATTCCTAGCTCAGGCCCATCTCGGAAGCTTGACCACTGTTACCACTGGGTGAATATATTATCATGATTGACTTTTGCTGTCACCACTATATTTGATACTGACTACTACCATCATATCCTGCCATTGAATATTATACTGCTGCTCTTTTGTGTACTGCCATTGAAATTGCTGTGTATTAATTTGTATTGATTTGAAAATCTAGTGAATTTTGTAGTACATTTGTTGATTGTACATCATTTGTTGTTTGTTTCCTTCACAATATATTCTTTTACATAAAGATTTCTGGGTTAAGATATTATTTTATTGTGGGATTCGACCCTTAACAAGGAATACAGAAGGACGTGTGCACTCGACTTGGTCAGCTTACCCAAGTATAACGAGACCTGTGATGATGAAGGCTGTGGTGACGGTTCCTATGGTTACGGCGGTACCGATTTGAGCATCTGTAGACATCCGAGGACTCCCTGTAAAAGGAACTGTGGATAAAGGGTAGGAACACACGAATGATTGGAACATTGTTGTAAACAACGCTTGCTTTGAAGGTCCCCTCTAATAATCGAAAATACAAACAAACTCCCGTTATCGTGAATTACAAAACACGAAGTTAACAGTAAATAAGAATAAAAGTTAAGCAACAAAAATGCTTATAAATTCAAAGCACTCACCTAGACAAGTTTTCATAAAACAGTTGTCTTGTTATAGAAATGAACATTGCATCAGCAGTGTCATATGTTTCAAAATGGCGATTCACTACCCTGTAATAGTTTTATTTGTATCTTAAAATATATTCTTTGAAGGAAAAACGAGTTTGAAAAAAATGACTACGTTTATAGCCAATCTGTATTTATGCTCTGAACGTGGATGTGATTTTCCAAACATAGGACAGACGTACCTGAGATTCTGAGGTTCCCTAGAGACGGTGTGTTTGATGTTTCTGGTGTTTGGGAGGCTGTGTAGGATTCTACAGAAGGGTTTGGAAGAGTCGTTGTCCTCGCCATTTTGTTTGAAAATGATTGTGTGGAGGTCTGCTTTGGAGTCGAAGACATGGTTGTGAAAACTTTCGTAGATTCTGTGAGTGCTGTAATTGGCGTCGTTGTGGTCGTTGGTACTGTAGATGTGACAGATGTCGTTGTTTGGATGGGTGCTGTGGTAGGGCCATTTTGGGTTGTATGTGCTGGAGTTGGTATCAGTGTTGAAATCGTGGAACCTCTAGCTGTATACATTGGCGGACTTGTATTATCTGTGGTTGGTGTAAACATCGGGGTGGTTGTTGTTGTATCTGTAGTTGGTGTAGGCATCGTCGTGGTTGGTGTAGACATCGGCGTGGTTGGTGTTGTATCTGTGGTTGGCGTAGACATCGGCGTGGTAGTTGTTGTATCTGTGGTAGTTGTAGACATCGGTGTGGTAGGTGTTGTATCTGTGGCTGCTGGAGACATCGCCGTGGTTGTTGTCGTATCTTCAGTTGTAGATATCACCGTTGTTGTATTCGGCTCCGTTGTCACTGCTTTAGACACAGTTGTTTAAGTTGTTGCAGAGAGGAGGTAAGTCGCATCAGTTGTAATAATATATCATCACCATTGCAGTCACTTCATGCATGCACACAATATTTCTGCAATTTCTGCCTTTATGCGAATAACAAACAAATCATCATATTTAAAATGGGGGATTCTAAGGAATGTATGGGTCAGTTCAGGTCACAAGTAAGTCATTGTCCGGACTGAGTGGTCGGGCGGCTCTGTGACTAGGCGGATTGCATGTCACCGTGCCCTTGGTGTGTGTGTGTGTGGGGGGGGGGGGGGGGGGGGGGGGGGGATTGGGGGGATTGGGGGGGGGGGGGGTTGGGAATCAGTGCTCATATCCTCACTCACTGGTTCATCAAGGATATTTCGATTTACAGGCCGCATATCGACTTAATTTCCACTACAATTCAAACGTATTATAACAAATTCTGTTAATTAATGCCACGTGATTGTAAAGATACTAGACATTTATCTTTGTTCATATATCATGCTATGAAACTAAGAAATGTATGAATTTGTAACACCCCCAGGCTATGTACTACAGGAATTTGGCCTCATCAGAATCATAAATATAGATGGATTGAGTTGGACGAATGTTGACTGCGGCGGTGCATTGTAGATATCGCGCAATGGAATTGCATCAGCATATCAAATATATTTGATATCAAAAGACACTCGGGTGAAATTCTCTATGTAACAGCACATATCTCAAATATCGTCATTGCTTACAGAATTAAGAGAGAAAGATGGAGAATGGGAGGGGTACAGAGGGAGAGATAGAGAGAGGGCAACATGAAGGGAGAGAAAAGAGGGAACGATGGAGAAAGAGAGGGCAGAGGGAGCGTAGACAGAGGGAGAATAGAGAGGAGGGATAGAGAGAAAGAAAGAGATAGAGGAGGAGGAATAGAGAGGGGAGGAGAGATAGAGAGAAAGGGAGGGAGGTGGGCAAAGGAAAAGATAGAGAAGGGGTAGAAAGAGAGAGGGGAGGAGAGAGAGAAAGGGAGAGAGGTGGACAAAGGAAAAGATAGAGAAGGGGTAGAAAGAGAGCTGGGAGGAGAGATAGAGAGGGAGGGAGGGAGGTGGGCAAAGGAAAAGAAAGAGAAGGGGTAGAAAGAGAGCGGGGAGGAGAGATAGAGAGAAAGGGAGGGAGGTGGGCAAAGGAAAAGATAGAGAAGGGGTAGAAAGAGAGCGGTGAGGAGAGATAGAGAGAAAGGGAGGGAGGTGGGCAAAGGAAAAGATAGAGAAGGGGTAGAAAGAGAGAGAGGAGGAGAGAGAGAGAGAAAGGGAGGGAGGTGGACAAAGGAAAAGATAGAGAAGGGGTAGAAAGAGAGCGGTGAGGAGAGATAGAGAGAAAGGGAGGGAGGTGGGCAAAGGAAAAGATAGAGAAGGGGTAGAAAGAGAGAGAGGAGGAGAGAGAGAGAGAAAGGGAGGGAGGTGGGCAAAGGAAAAGATAGAGAAGGGGTAGAAAGAGAGCGGGGAGGAGAGATAGAGAGAAAGGGGGTAGGTGGGCAAAGGAAAAGATAGAGAAGGGGTAGAAAGAGAGCGGGGAGGGGAGAGAGAAAAGGAGAGAGGTGGACAAAGGAAAAGATAGAGAAGGGGTAGAAAGAGAGAGAGGAGGAGAGAGAGAGAGAAAGGGAGGGAGGTGGGCAAAGGAAAAGATAGAGAAGGGGTAGAAAGAGAGCGGTGAGGAGAGATAGAGAGAAAGGGAGGGAGGTGGGCAAAGGAAAAGATAGAGAAGGAGGTAGAAAGAGAGAGGGGAGGGGGGAGAGAGAGAAAGGGAGAGAGATGGGCAAAGGAAAAGATAGAGAAGGGGTAGAAAGAGAGCGGGGAGGGGGAGAGAGAGAAAGGGAGGGAGATGGGCAAAGGAAAAGATAGAGAAGGGGTAGGAAGAGAGCGGGGAGGGGGGAGAGAGAGAAAGGGAGGGAGGTGGGCAAAGGAAAAGATAAAGAAGGAGGTAGGAAGAGAGAGGGGAGGGGGGAGAGAGAGGGGGGAAGGGAGATGGGCAAAGGAAAAGATAGAGAAGGGGTAGGAAGAGAGAGGGGAGGAGAGAGAGAGAAAGGGAGGGAGGTGGGCAAAGGAAAAGATAGAGAAGGGGTAGAAAGAGAGCGGGGAGGAGAGAGAGAAAGGGAGGAAGGGAGGTGGGCAAAGGAAAAGATAAAGAAGGAGGTAGAAAGAGAGCAGGGAGGAGGGAGAGAGAGGGGGAGGGAGATGGGCAAAGGAAAAGATAGAATAGGGGTAGAAAGAGAGAGGGGAGGAGAGAGAGAGAAAGGGAGGGAGGTGGGCAAAGGAAAAGATAGAGAAGGGGTAGAAAGAGAGCGGGGAGGAGAGAGAGAGAAGGGAGGAAGGGAGGTGGGCAAAGGAAAAGATAAAGAAGGAGGTAGAAAGAGAGAGGGGAGGGGGGAGAGAGAGGAGGGGAAGGGAGTTGGGCAAAGGAAAAGATAGAATAGGGGTAGAAAGAGAGAGGGGAGGAGAGAGAGAGAAAGGGAGGGAGGTGGGCAAAGGAACAGATAGAGAAGGAGGTAGAAAGAGAGGGATGAGAGAGAGAGAAAGGGAGAGAGGTGGGCAAAGAAAAAGATAGAGAAGGGGTAGAAAGAGAGAGGGGAGGGGGGAGAGAGAGAAAGGGAGAGAGGTGGGCAAAGGAAAAGATAGAGAAGGGGTAGAAAGAGAGAGGGGAGGAGAGAGAGAAAGGGAGACAGGTGGGCAAAGGAAAAGATAGAGAAGGGGTAGAAAGAGAGCGGGGAGGAGAGAGAGAGAAAGGGAGAGATGTGGGCAAAGGAAAAGATAGAGAAGGGTTAGAAAGAGAGAGGGGAGGAGAGAGAGAAAGGGAGAGAGGTGCGCAAAGGAAAAGATAGAGAAGGATGTAGAAAGAGAGCGGGGAGGAGAGTGAAAGGGAGAGAGGTGGGCAAAGGAAAAGATAGAGAAGGGGTAGAAAGAGAGAGGGGAGGGGAGAGAGAAAAGGAGAGAGGTGGACAAAGGAAAAGATAGAGAAGGGGTAGAAAGAGAGAGGGGAAGGGAGAGAGAAAAGGAGAGAGGTGGACAAAGGAAAAGATAGAGAAGGGGTAGAAAGAGAGAGAGGAGGAGAGAGAGAGAGAAAGGGAGGGAGGTGGGCAAAGGAAAAGATAGAGAAGGGGTAGAAAGAGAGAGGGGAGGGGAGATAGAAAGGGAGAGAGGTGGACAAAGGAAAAGATAGAGAAGGGGTAGAAAGAGAGCGGTGAGGAGAGATAGAGAGAAAGGGAGGGAGGTGGGCAAAGGAAAAGATAGAGAAGGGGTAGAAAGAGAGCGGTGAGGAGAGATAGAGAGAAAGGGAGGGAGGTGGGCAAAGGAAAAGATAGAGAAGGGGTAGAAAGAGAGAGAGGAGGAGAGAGAGAGAGAAAGGGAGGGAGGTGGGCAAAGGAAAAGATAGAGAAGGGGTAGAAAGAGAGCGGTGAGGAGAGATAGAGAGAAAGGGAGGGAGGTGGGCAAAGGAAAAGATAGAGAAGGGGTAGAAAGAGAGAGAGGAGGAGAGAGAGAGAGAAAGGGAGGGAGGTGGGCAAAGGAAAAGATAGAGAAGGGGTAGAAAGAGAGCGGGGAGGAGAGATAGAGAGAAAGGGGGTAGGTGGGCAAAGGAAAAGATAGAGAAGGGGTAGAAAGAGAGCGGGGAGGGGAGAGAGAAAAGGAGAGAGGTGGACAAAGGAAAAGATAGAGAAGGGGTAGAAAGAGAGAGAGGAGGAGAGAGAGAGAGAAAGGGAGGGAGGTGGGCAAAGGAAAAGATAGAGAAGGGGTAGAAAGAGAGCGGTGAGGAGAGATAGAGAGAAAGGGAGGGAGGTGGGCAAAGGAAAAGATAGAGAAGGAGGTAGAAAGAGAGAGGGGAGGGGGGAGAGAGAGAAAGGGAGAGAGATGGGCAAAGGAAAAGATAGAGAAGGGGTAGAAAGAGAGCGGGGAGGGGGGAGAGAGAGAAAGGGAGGGAGATGGGCAAAGGAAAAGATAGAGAAGGGGTAGGAAGAGAGCGGGGAGGGGGGAGAGAGAGAAAGGGAGGGAGGTGGGCAAAGGAAAAGATAAAGAAGGAGGTAGGAAGAGAGAGGGGAGGGGGGAGAGAGAGGGGGGAAGGGAGATGGGCAAAGGAAAAGATAGAGAAGGGGTAGGAAGAGAGAGGGGAGGAGAGAGAGAGAAAGGGAGGGAGGTGGGCAAAGGAAAAGATAGAGAAGGGGTAGAAAGAGAGCGGGGAGGAGAGAGAGAAAGGGAGGAAGGGAGGTGGGCAAAGGAAAAGATAAAGAAGGAGGTAGAAAGAGAGCAGGGAGGAGGGAGAGAGAGGGGGAGGGAGATGGGCAAAGGAAAAGATAGAATAGGGGTAGAAAGAGAGAGGGGAGGAGAGAGAGAGAAAGGGAGGGAGGTGGGCAAAGGAAAAGATAGAGAAGGGGTAGAAAGAGAGCGGGGAGGAGAGAGAGAGAAGGGAGGAAGGGAGGTGGGCAAAGGAAAAGATAAAGAAGGAGGTAGAAAGAGAGAGGGGAGGGGGGAGAGAGAGGAGGGGAAGGGAGTTGGGCAAAGGAAAAGATAGAATAGGGGTAGAAAGAGAGAGGGGAGGAGAGAGAGAGAAAGGGAGGGAGGTGGGCAAAGGAACAGATAGAGAAGGAGGTAGAAAGAGAGGGATGAGAGAGAGAGAAAGGGAGAGAGGTGGGCAAAGAAAAAGATAGAGAAGGGGTAGAAAGAGAGAGGGGAGGGGGGAGAGAGAGAAAGGGAGAGAGGTGGGCAAAGGAAAAGATAGAGAAGGGGTAGAAAGAGAGAGGGGAGGAGAGAGAGAAAGGGAGACAGGTGGGCAAAGGAAAAGATAGAGAAGGGGTAGAAAGAGAGCGGGGAGGAGAGAGAGAGAAAGGGAGAGATGTGGGCAAAGGAAAAGATAGAGAAGGGTTAGAAAGAGAGAGGGGAGGAGAGAGAGAAAGGGAGAGAGGTGCGCAAAGGAAAAGATAGAGAAGGATGTAGAAAGAGAGCGGGGAGGAGAGTGAAAGGGAGAGAGGTGGGCAAAGGAAAAGATAGAGAAGGGGTAGAAAGAGAGAGGGGAGGGGAGAGAGAAAAGGAGAGAGGTGGACAAAGGAAAAGATAGAGAAGGGGTAGAAAGAGAGAGGGGAAGGGAGAGAGAAAAGGAGAGAGGTGGACAAAGGAAAAGATAGAGAAGGGGTAGAAAGAGAGAGAGGAGGAGAGAGAGAGAGAAAGGGAGGGAGGTGGGCAAAGGAAAAGATAGAGAAGGGGTAGAAAGAGAGAGGGGAGGGGAGATAGAAAGGGAGAGAGGTGGACAAAGGAAAAGATAGAGAAGGGGTAGAAAGAGAGCGGTGAGGAGAGATAGAGAGAAAGGGAGGGAGGTGGGCAAAGGAAAAGATAAAGAAGGAGGTAGGAAGAGAGAGGGGAGGGGGGAGAGAGAGGGGGGAAGGGAGATGGGCAAAGGAAAAGATAGAGAAGGGATAGGAAGAGAGAGGGGAGGAGAGAGAGAGAAAGGGAGGGAGGTGGGCAAAGGAAAAGATAGAGAAGGGGTAGAAAGAGAGCGTGGAGGAGAGAGAGAAAGGGAGGAAGGGAGGTGGGCAAAGGAAAAGATAAAGAAGGAGGTAGAAAGAGAGCAGGGAGGAGGGAGAGAGAGGGGGGGAGGGAGATGGGCAAAGGAAAAGATAGAATAGGGGTAGAAAGAGAGAGGGGAGGAGAGAGAGAGAAAGGGAGGGAGGTGGTCAAAGGAAAAGATAGAGAAGGGGTAGAAAGAGAGCGGGGAGGAGAGAGAGAGAAGGGAGGAAGGGAGGTGGGCAAAGGAAAAGATAAAGAAGGATGTAGAAAGAGAGAGGGAAGGGGGGAGAGAGAGGAGGGGAAGGGAGATGGGCAAAGGAAAAGATAGAATAGGGGTAGAAAGAGAGAGGGGAGGAGAGAGAGAGAAAGGGAGGGAGGTGGGCAAAGGAAAAGATAGAGAAGGATGTAGAAAGAAAGAGGGGAGGGGGGAGAGAGAAAGGGAGGGAGGTGTGCAAAGGAACAGATAGAGAAGGAGGTAGAAAGAGAGGGATGAGAGAGAGAGAAAGGGAGAGAGGTGGGCAAAGAAAAAGATAGAGAAGGGGTAGAAAGAGAGAGGGGAGTGGGGAGAGAGAGAAAGGGAGAGAGGTGGGCAAAGGAAAAGATAGAGAAGGGGTAGAAAGAGAGAGGGGAGGGGAGAGGGAGAAAGGGAGACAGGTGGGCAAAGGAAAAGATAGAGAAGGGGTAGAAAGAGAGAGGGGAGAGAGAGAGAAAGGGAGAGAGGTGGGCAAAGGAAAATATAGAGAAGGAGGTAGAAAGAGAGAGGGGAGGAGAGTGAAAGGGAGAGAGGTGGGCAAAGGAAAAGATAGAGAAGGGGTAGAAAGAGAGAGGGGAGGGGAGAGAGAGAAAGGGAGACAGGTGGGCAAAGGAAAAGATAGAGAAGGGGTAGAAAGAGAGAGGGGAGAGAGAGAGAAAGGGAGAGAGGTGGGCAAAGGAAAAGATAGAGAAGGGGTAGAAATAGAGAGGGGAGGAGAGAGAGAGAAAGGGAGAGAGGTGGGCAAAGGAAAAGATAGAGAAGGGGTAGAAAGAGAGAGGGGAGGGGAGAGAGAGAGAAAGGGAGACAGGTGGGCAAAGGAAAAGATAGAGAAGGGGTAGAAAGAGAGAGGGGAGGGGAGAGAGAGAGAAAGGGAGAGAGGTGGGCAATGGAAAAGATAGAGAAGGGGTAGAAAGAGAGAGAGGGGAGGAGAGAGAGAGAAAGGGAGAGAGGTTGGCAGAGGAAAAGATATAGAAGGGGTAGAAAAAGGGAGGGGAGGAGAGAGAGAAAGGGAGAGAGGTGGGCAAAGGAAAAAGATAGAGAAGGATGTAGAAAGAGAGAGGGGGAGGGGGAGAGAGAGAAAGGGAGAGAGGTGGGCAAAGGAAAAGATAGAGAAGGAGGTAGAAAGAGAGAGGGTAGGAGAGATAGAGAAAGGGAGAGAGGTGGGCAAAGGAAAAAGATAGAGAAAGATGTAGAAAGAGAGAGGGGAGGGGGAGAGAGAGAAAGGGAGAGAGGTTGGCAAAGGAAAAGATAGAGAAGGAGGTAGAAAGAGAGAGGGTAGGAGAGATAGAGAAAGGGAGAGAGGTGGGCAAAGAAAAAGATAGAGAAGGGGTAGAAAGAGAGAGGGGAGGAGAGTGAAAGGGAGAGAGGTGGGCAAAGGAAAAAGATAGAGAAGGATGTAGAGAGAGAGAGGGGAGGAGAGTGAAAGGGAGAGAGGTGGGCAAAGAAAAAGATAGAGAAGGAGGTAGAAAGAGAGAGGGGAGGAGAGTGAAAGGGAGAGGGGTGGGGAAAGGAAAAGATAGAGAAGGGGTAGAAAGAGAGAGGGGAAGGGAAGAGAGAGAAAGGGAGAGAGGTGGGCAAATGAAAAGATAGAGAAGGGGTAGATAGAGAGAGGGGAGGAGAGTGAAAGGGAGGGAGGTGGGCAAAGGAAAAGATAGAGAAGGGGTAGAAAGAGAGAGGGGAGGGGAAAGAGAGAGAAAGGGAGAGAGGTGGGCAAAGGAAAAGATAGAGAAGGGGTAGAAAGAGAGAGGGGAGGAGAGATAGATAGATAGAGAAAGGGACTGCGAGCAGGCAGAGAGGGAGATAGAGAGGAAGCGTAACTGTATACACCTTCCTTTTGTTCTTGGAAAATCACACATTGTGGATTTTGCTTTTTTGAGGTTTTGTTGCTTTTCAATAATCTTACCTGCATTGCACTTCTCTATATAACTTGGATGAAAAAAGAACGTACATCCAGGTCCTTCTGTTAGGCTTGTTTCTTTGTACAAGTTACAATCGTAACTATCAGAGCAGAATGTTCCCGCTTTAAATTTATCGAACTTGGCCAGGAAGGCTTTGCAAGCATCGAGGTTAGCTACGACACGGAATCCTCTAATATCTGAGGCTCCCTTCCTGTCTCTGGCATCGGCGAAGCTGCACGGTGTACCTAGAACAGAAGACGTCAGTTAGGAGGCAGCAGAAGACTCTGTTACATCGCCACTGCAGCCGTCTCCGAGCAGGAAGTAACACGGTATGGCTTCACGAACTAAACCCGGATCTTCTGTGTGCAATACGAAACTATGACACTACGCCCAGCCAGATCTATTACAATGCCTTTCCGTTTGTTATGCCGCCTTTGTGGTGGAGTTAAGATATAATACACTTGATAAACAATCCTATATGATAGCAAAATGCAGGCCGTATGTACTCATTGCGAACCATTATTGTGGCCCTGGGGGTTATTTCTGAATATATAATGACCCAAAGAGGATCCACGTTATTAATAAAACAAGAGTTTGCAACTAACGTGGCTATATCCCCCGCCCCTGTCGCAGAATTTATGACACAATTAAATCTAAACAAACCCTAACCTTTTTTAACCGAGGTGGAACTTGTCATGGAAATTGTAAAAAAAAGAAGAGTTTGGAACCTAAGTCCATCTTGCTGCCATGGAAACGTAAAAAAAAATTTTCTAAAATTTCTAAATAGCAAAAGGCACCAGTTCAGCATGTACCTGGCAAACCTGCAAAGTTTGATGAAAAAATATTGAACGGTTTATGGGTTATGCTCCGGAAACGAACCCTACCCTCACAGAACCTAAGTCCATCTTGTTGCCATCAACTCCCCACGTAAAAAATAGAAACTTCTAAAATTACTAAATAGCAAAAGGCACCATTTCAGCATGTACTTGACAGACCTGCAAAGTTTGATGAAAAATGTTGAACGGTTTATGAGTTATGCTCAACTTTGTTGGGCGGGGGATAACAAAGCAGGTATATTATTATTTACACTACTACTATTACTACTACTACTACTACTACTACTACTACTACTACTACTACTACTACTACTACTACTACTACTCTACTCGTGTAGCTGGGGTCACGGTTGGCCCAGTCGTCTAAGGCGCCGCAATTCGCTGTGTACAGTTGCGACCCTTAAGCACGCCAGAAACCTGTGATAGTGGGTTCGAATCTCGGTTCGCCTAGATTATGTTTTCAGGTTTGTTAAAACCTGCATCACTTCGGGCTCTCCTCCCACATTAAGATGATACGCTTAATTGTTTCTGATCTTAGGCGTTTGATGAATATTCTTAAAGTCATGTTTAAAAATGTATACGAAACTAGTACATATTTGTTTACCTTTTGACACCAGAACGAGATTTGCAAGGTGAACGATTTGAAGCAGAAGCCGGGGCCCCATTGATGTAGGATCCTAAAAAATAAACAGCGCAAATGCTCACATGTCCAAACATCTGACGAAGTCTTAACCTCTCAGCTCCCCACCTTCACCCCCCTCAACCCCTCAACTCCCCACCTCCATCTACTCTCCTACTCAACTCCATCCCCTCTCAACTCCACACCTCATACCCCTCTCAACTCCCAAACCACCCCCGTCAACCCCTCAACTCCCCACCTCAATCTGCTCTCCTACTCAACTCCACGCCCATTCAACTCCACATCTCAACCCCCTCCCAACACCCCAACCAGCCCCTCTCAACCCCTTAACTCCCCACCTCCACCCCCTTTCAACCCTTCAACTCCCCACCTCCACCCCCTCTCAACCCTTCAACTCCCCACCTCCACCCCCTTTCAACCCCTCAACTCCCCACCTCCACCCCCTCTCAACCCTTCAACTCCCCACCTCCACCCCCTTTCAACCCCTCAACTCCCCACCTCCATCTCCAACTCCTCTCAACCCATCAACTCCCCACCTCAACCCCCTCTCAACCCTTCAACTCCCCACCTCCAACCCCTCTCAACCCTTCAACTCCCCACCTCCACCCCCTCTCAAACCCTTATCTCCCCACCTCCATCTCCAACTCCTCTTATCCCATCAACTCCCCACCTCAACCCCCTCTCAACCCTTCAACTCCCCACCTCCACCCCCTCTCAAACCCTTATCTCCCCACCTCCATCTCCAACTCCTCTCAACCCTTCAACTCCCCACCTCCACCCCCTTTCAACCCCTCAACTCCCCATCTCCATCCCCTTTCAACCCCTCAACTCCCCATCTCCACCCCCTCTCAACCCCTCAACTCCCCACCTCCGTCTCCAACTCCTCTCAACCCATCAACTCCCCATCTCCAGCCCCTCTCAACCATTCAACTCCCAACCTCCAGCCCCTCTCAACCCTTCAACTCCCCACCTCCACCCCATCTCAACCCATCAACTCCCCACCTCCATCCCCTCTCAACCCCCCAACTCCATCTCCAACTCCTCTCAACCCATCAACTCCCCACGTCAACCCCCTCTCAACCCATCAACTCCCCACCTCCACCCCCTCTCAACCCTTCAACTCCCCACCTCCACCCCCTCTCAAACCCTCACCTCCACCCCCTCTCAACCCCTCACCTCCCCCTCTCCATCTCAACCCCCTCTCAACCCTTAAACACCCCACCTCCATCTCCATCCCCTCTCAACCCCTCAACTCCCCACCTCCACCCCCTCTCAACCACTCACCTCCACCCCCTTCCAACCCCTCACCTCCCCACCTCCATCTCAACCCCCTCTCAACCCATCAACTTCCCACCTCCACCCCCTCTCAACCCCTCACCTCCACCCCCTCTCAACCCCTCACCTCCCCCTCTCCATCTCAACCCCCTCTCAACCCATCAACTTCCCACCTCCATCTCCATCCCCTCTCAACCCCTCACCTCCACCCCCTCTCAACCACTCACCTCCACCCCCTTCCAACCCCTCACCTCCCCACCTCCATCTCAACCCCCTCTCAACCCATCAACTTCCCACCTCCACCCCCTCTCAACCCCTCACCTCCACCCCCTCTCAACCCCTCACCTCCCCCTCTCCATCTCAACCCCCTCTCAACCCATCAACTTCCCACCTCCATCTCCATCCCCTCTCAACCCCTCACCTCCACCCCCTCTCAACCACTCACCTCCACCCCCTTCCAACCCCTCACCTCCCCACCTCCATCTCAACCCCCTCTCAACCCATCAACTTCCCACCTCCACCCCCTCTCAACCCCTCACCTCCACCCCCTCTCAACCCCTCACCTCCCCCTCTCCATCTCAACCCCCTGTCAAACCCATCAACTTCCCACCTCCACCTCCACCCCCTCTCAACCCCTCACCTCCATACCCTCTCAACCCCTCACCTCCCCACCTCGTTCTCCATCCCCTCTCAACCCCTCACCTCCCCACCTCGTTCTCCATCCCCTCTCAACCCCTCACCTCCCCACCTCGTTCTCCATCCCCTCTCAACCCCTCACCTCCCCACCTCCATCTCCATCCCCTCTCAACCCCTCAAATCCCCATCTCCACCTCCTCTCAACTCCTCAACTCCCCACCTCTACCTCCTATAATAATATCATTAGCATCATCAAGGGGAGAATGTGTCTTCAGTTCTTCAATATTCACATGGGGAACTTCATATCAACGTGTTAATTTCCTCATTCCTATCAATTCCTTCGGGTGCCACAGCGGACATCCCGTCAAACAATCAAACATTAATCTGGCTCAAATAATGTTAAAACCTTGGTCGCTTGTGCTTATGGTTGAAGTGTGTGACAGACGTGTAGGTTTTATTCGTGCTATCAACCGCTGGCTTCCCGGGGCCAGATTTCATTTTCACTTCGTACTATTTCCTTCGCCATTTCCATTTCGATATACAGAAAGTTGACCGCCCACGTTCACTAAGTGACAACCACTTAGGAGTAGGTGTTGATCCCCAAGGACCCGTTCTAGGAAGCGATCTTAGCGCTACGACTGAAGTTAGTCAGTGTTGAAGAATGGGAGTTACGATCGACTTAGCGCTAAGATCGCTCTGTGGTTGGTTGGTTGGTTTGTTGTTTAACGCCGCACTCAGCAATATTCCAGCTATATGACGGCGGTCTGTAAATAATCGAATCTGGACCAGACAATCCAGTGATTGATATCATGAGCATCGATCTACGCAATTGGGATCGATGACATGCATCAACCAAGTCAGCGAGCCTGACCACGTTCCCGATCCCGTTAGTCGCCTTTTACGACAAGCATAGTCACCTTTTACGACAAGCATGGGTCGCTGAAGACCTATTCTACCCCGGAATCTTCACGGGTCATCGCTCTGTGGAACGAGGACCAGCAACATAACGGATGGATATAATGGATCGGGCAGTCAGGCTCGCTTACTCAGTTGATTGCGGGTTACCGTACCCCGTCACCGTTGCTCACAATATCAATCATTGGTTTGTCTGGTCCAGACTGGATTATTTACATGCCGTCGTCATGTAGCTGGAATATTGTTCAGTGCGGCTTGAACTATTGAACGCGACGTAAACGTCCACTTAACCACACCTCATTTCACCTCTTGTAAACTGTCGCCATGTAGGATCTCACATATGTATCAACTCCTCAACTCATAACGGAAATAACATGCTCGGGCATGTGTCCATTGTGTCAACCTACTTGAAGTAACGTCGTAGTGAGGTGAGGTGAAGTGAAATTGGGTTTAACGTCGCGTCCAAGATTATTGCACTTATATAGCGACGTGCATGCACATGTGTGTGTGTGTGTGTGGATGCTTGTACTAGTCCGGACTGACGCCGAATTATAGGGCTAGCCCACTGAAATACCATGCCGCAATTTAACATGAATACCCCACTCAGACACAGTTTACTGACTCCGAGCCGACCAGTCCTTATTTTAGCCCCTTAATGCCGAGCGCCAGACAGTGTAACAACAAGTACCATCTTTTAACGTCTTTTGGTATGACGCGGCCGGGGAGCGAACCACGGACCTTCCGCTCTCCGGGCGGACGCTCTACCACTAGACACACACACGTGCATGTACGTCGCTATATAAGTGCAATAATCTTGAACGCGACGTTAAACCCCATTTCACCTCACCTCAATCACCTCACCTCACCTCACCTCACCTCACCTCACCTCACCTCACCGACTACATGGCACATAATGGAGTCTGTGCCATGGCAACTAATATTTAATGGCACAATGCAGTGATGCACAAAAAGCAGAGCACAACAATGTAACCTTCCGCCTCATGTAGTTGACTCATACGACAAGCATGGCATTCTATGTAGTAAGAGGTAGGCCTGGTCCAGCAATGTTACGCACTTCCTTCGATGGGTCTCGGCTACGCCTAGATCAACCAGGATGTACTAACGCTGATGCGATAATTACACGAATGCATTTCAACAGGGTCTTAAAGACACGTGCTCACTAAAGTGGTGGATAACACTCATACAATCACGACACGAAGTGCTTTCTAATACGCAACAAATTGTTTTCTGCAAGTAAAAGCAATGGTAGTAGTAGTAGTAGTGATGGTGGTGGTGGTGGTGGTGGTGGTAGTAATAGTAGTAGTAGTAGTAGTAGTAGTAGAAGTAGTAGTAGAAGTAGTAGTAGTGGTTGTTGTAGTAGTAGTAGTAGTAGTAGTAGAAGTAGTAGTAGTGGTGGTGGTGGTGGTAGTAGTAGTAGTAGTAGTAGTAGCGGAACTAGTAGGAAAAGTAATGGTAGTTGTGGTAGTAGCAGCAGTAGTAGTAGTAGTAGTAGTGGTAGCAGTAGTGGTAGCAGCAGCAGCAGCAGTAGTAGTAGTAGCGGAACTAGAAGTAAAAGTAATGGTAGTTGTAGTAGTAATAGTAGTAGTAGCAGTAGTAGTAGTAGTTGTTGTTGTAGTAGTAGTAATAGTAGTAGTAGTAGTAGTTGAAGCGTAAATAATAATCTACCTGCTTTGTAGTAGGATGAGAAGGAGTTGCTGTTGTAGTGAGTTTAAAGCCGCTTTGAACAGTATTTAGTAAATGTAGTAGCTTGGCGATGTTTTCCTGTAACCCACACCCCGCTTCTGTGCCGACGTTGTTGGTTATTTATCAGCAAGAAACAGCCCGCGGTATCCGACAGAACACACCCAACTCGGCAGAGATAAGGCTGCAGTTGCGCATATACATGGGTCAGTGTGATTTACTGCTGATATCGAAGTCCTTGTCAGTGTGCCGACGACGTGCCCATAGACTTGACTTGCAGTCATTTATTTCTTCGTTTCTCATGATGAAATACAACAATGGATCTCAGGTGATGCTGTCAAGTTGTTAAATAACAGACGGGCATGCATGTCTTCACACTGGAGTGAGTCATGTGAGTCATGTGAGTCATGTTCTACACACTAGAGGGAGGCATACATGTCTTCACACTGGAGGGAAGTCTATATGTCTTCCCACTGGAGGGAGGCCTGCATGTCTTCACACTGGAGGGAAGTCTATATGTCTTCACACTGGAGGGAGGCATACATGTCTTCACACTGGAGGGAAGTCTATATGTCTTCACACTAGAGGGAGGCCTGCATGTCTACACACTAGAGGGAGGCCTGCATGTCTACACACTGGAGGGAGGCCTATATGTCTACACACTAGAGGGAGGCCTGCATATCTTCACACTGGAGGGAAGTCTATATGTCTACACACTGGAGGGATCCCTGCATGTCTACACACTGGAGGGAGGCCTATATGTCTACACACTAGAGGGAGGCCTGCATGTCTTCACACTGGAGGGAGGCATACATGTCTTCACACTGGAGGGAAGTCTATATGTCTTCACACTGGAGGGAGGCCTGCATGTCTTCACACTGGAGGGAAGTCTATATGTCTTCACACTGGAGGGAGGCATACATGTCTTCACACTGGAGGGAAGTCTATATGTCTTCACACTAGAGGGAGGCCTGCATGTCTACACACTAGAGGGAGGCCTGCATGTCTACACACTGGAGGGAGGCCTGCATGTCTTCACACTGGAGGGAAGTCTATATGTCTACACACTGGAGGGAGGCATACATGTCTACACACTGGAGGGAGGCCTATATGTCTACACACTAGAGGGAGGCATACATGTCTACAAACTGGAGGGAAGTCTATATGTCTACACACTGGAGGGAGGCCTGCATGTCTACACACTGGAGAGAGGCCTGCATGTCTACACACTGGTGGGAAGCCTGCATGTCTACACACTAGAGGGAGGCCTGCATGTCTACACACTGGAGGGAGGCCTGCATGTCTTCACACTGGAGGGAAGTCTATATGTCTACACACTAGAGGGAGGCCTGCATGTCTACACACTGGAGGGAGGCCTATATGTCTACACACTATAGGGAGGCCTGCATGTCTACACACTAGAGGGAGGCCTGCATGTCTACACACTGGAGGGAGGCCTGCATGTCTACACACTAGAGGGAGGCCTGCATGTCTACACACTAGAGGGGGGCCTGCATGTCTACACACTGGAGGGAGGCCTGCATGTCTACACACTAGAGGGAGGCCTGCATGTCTACACACTGGAGGGAGGCCAGCATGTCTACACACTGTAGGCAGGCCTGCATGTCTACACACTGTAGGGAGGCCAGCATGTCTACACACTGGATGGAGGCCTGCATGTCTACACACTGTAGGGAGGCCAGCATGTCTACACACTGGAGGGAGGCCTGCATGTCTACACACTGGAGTGAGGCCAGCATGTCTACACACTGGAGGGAGGCCAGCATGTCTACACACTGGAGGGAGGCCTGCATCTCTACACACTGGAGGGAGGCCTGCATGTCTACACACTGGAGGGAGACCAGCATGTCTACACACTGGAGGGAGGCCTGCATGTCTACACACTGGAGGGAGGCCTGCATGTCTACACACTGGAGGGAGGCCTGCATGTCTACACACTGGAGGGAGGCCTGCATGTCTACACACTGGAGGGAGGCCAGCATGTCCACACACTGGAGGGAGGCCTGCATGTCTACACACTGGAGGGAGGCCTGCATGTCTACACACTGGAGGGAGGCCTGCATGTCTACACACTGGAGGGAGGCCTGCATGTCTACACACTGGAGGGAGGCCTGCATGTCTACACACTGTAGGGAGGCCTGCATGTCTACACACTGGAGGGAGGCCAGCATGTCTACACACTGTAGGGAGGCCTGCATGTCTACACACTGGAGGGAGGCCAGCATGTCTACACACTGGAGGGAGGCCAGCATGTCTACACACTGGAGGGAGGCCTGCATGTCTACATTTTGGTTTCTTCAACTCGTGGCAGCTCCACAGTAGCCTGTCATGTCCATTCTCGGAAATTCAGATCAACAAGAAACAACTTTTGTGTGGCTTTGCTGGTGGTTCCCTTGCTTTCGTTAAGTTTTGGCAGTAATGTAGGAGTAGGATAATTATGCGTAAGTTCCGCGAGAACACCCGCCTGTATAAGGCATCCCCATAAAACACAACAACCAATTAGCTGCCTCTCGTCTCTCAACAGGCCTTTAAACAAGAACGTCCGTTTAATTACGCACAGTGACTAATCGTTTTCTTTAAAACGCTGAACGGAACGTAAAGGACCAAGAAAGAAATGTTCATACATTTATAGAAATATCAGATAGTTGAAAGCAGACATTCGAGGTACAGTATGGGTGCCATTTCTTTTTCTTATTTCTAGTGAACGTACACAAATTGCATGTGTTGAAAAAATCAAGAAATAATTCCTTAAATTAAATCCACAGACTCGTTAAAACTAAAATCATCTAGTCCTTTGTTCTGTCTTACTAAAACAGCTTCAGTAGTACAGAGGTAGATAAAACATGGCTCTAAAACACTGCATTTAACACGGTGTATTCCAAGGAAACTAAACGAGAGGGCATGCTTGGCATTGATACGGTAGCTCTTCACTCTGCGTGTTTGTAAACTTAACGCCGTACTCCAGGCTTAATACTCCAGCTACATGGCGGCGGCCGGAAATTAACCGAGTCTGGGTCAGTAATTGCTATTGTAAGCAACGATCCACGAAGTAAGGGTATGATGACACGCCAGCAAGCAAGTCACTGAGTTTGGCCACCCTCTACATTAAGCCGCTTCTTGCGACCAGCATAGGTTGCTGGGGACCAAATCTAACACGAAATCCCCATGATCCCCCATGCGGGTCTCCCCAGTAATTCATCACAATGCCTTTCACCATAAAGGCAGATAAGTATTAGATATGTAAGAAAGGTTATTAGAATTTACAATAATTATTTTCAAACGTTGCGCTGTTTAGATACGATTTTTTAACTGCCTTCTGTAAAGTATATGTTGTATAATGAAACGTCTTTTGTGAATGTCATACTTCTAATACTAATGTCATAAAAAGTAATATTATCATCTAAATATTTATTGTCCCCATTGTGGAGGCATCACCAAAAATAATACAATTACATACCCTGACATAGGTGGATCCGGAGGTGGTGTCCAGGGGTCTCACACACACACACACACACACACACACACACACACACACACACACACACACACACACACGCACGCGCGCACACACACGCACACACGCACATAACATACACACACACAACATACACACACACACACACACACACACACACACACACATTTTGAAAACCAAATGATGAGTGAGACTGAGTGTGGATTTTGATATATTGGACCCCTCCCTTTTACAAATGCTGGACCCGCCCTTGTCTGGGACATAACGATATAGTTCCCACCAGTGGTGTAATAGACACACCATCTCTGAATCATTATAACAGAAGTAGTGTCTTAAGAAGAGCAAGCGCCAAAGAAGCATGGGTTTCGGACTCGCGGGTTCATTAAGTATATAATTCAGGGATAGAGGCGCTTGAGCCCGACCTTTGATAAAAAAGCAAAGTTGTCAGCTTGGTAACATTATATCGTAAATCAAACATAAAGTAACGCATTTGCTCCAATTGAATGTTCAGCATCACATATGTACATACATAGCAGAAAGACTGGGATGAATATCATTATTTGGAATGTCTATAGTCTGCTGTTAAATAGAATTCGACACGAAGATGGTATCTGTACGAGCATCTCCCCTAACGTAACATGCAGCCACTTACCTCTCGTCAAAGTAAAGTGGCCCGTGTGTTCCGGCCTTCCTCTCCAGACGTCGGATGGACGGGAGCCTGGTTTGAACTTGGTATGCTTGTGAGTTCAGTGTTGCCGCTAGCATGCCGAATGTATAAACACAATACGGCAACAACACCCACATAAGGGCGGAGCCGCTCGCACAGCGGTTCTGAGCATCCGTGTCTCCTGCCTCAATGACCCGACAACGTCATCTCCGATTCGAAGAGAGGTGACGGGAGGGTGCGGTCTCATGTTTTCGTCCCAGTGTATATTCACAGGTCAACGTTTGTCTTCTAGAAAGTGCGGTGTGTATGTACGTTTGTACGTGTGTGCTTGTACTTGTCCAGATTGATGCCGGTTGATACTGCCCAATGAGATGTAACATGGATACCCCATTCAGACACACTATACCGACCAAGACCCTACCAATCCCTGTTTTGTCCCGTTAATACCAAGCGCCAGACAGGGAACCAATAAGTACAGTCTTTTAACATGGCCAAGGAATCGAACAACCGATTTTCTAATCTCTTGGCAGGCGCTCTATCCACAAGACCTCGGAGGCGGTCATGTCTTCTAGAAAGTGGGGTGAGAAGACGTGTGCAGTCTTTCAGCAGGTGCCCGTCCCCTGTACAATCCCCCATCAGGGTATGTCTCCTAGAAGACGGGGGTGGAAACAGCATGCAGTCGTACACAGGTGCCCGTCCCCTGTACAATCCCCCATCAAGGTATGTCTCCTAGAAGACAGGGGTGGGAGCAGCATGCAGTCTTACACAGGTGCCCGTCCCCTGTACAATCCCCCATCAAGGTATGTCTCCTAGAAGACAGGGGTGGGAGCAGCATGCAGTCTTACACAGGTGCCCGTCCCCTGTACAATCCCCCATCAAGGTGTCTTCTAGAAGACAGGGGTGGGAGAAGCATGCAGTCTTACAGCAGGTGCCCGTCCCCTGTACAATCCCCCATCAGGGTATGTCTCCTAGAAGACGGGGGTGGAAACAGCATGCAGTCGTACACAGGTGCCCGTCCCCTGTACAATCCCCCATCAAGGTATGTCTCCTAGAAGACAGGGGTGGGAGCAGCATGCAGTCTTACACAGGTGCCCGTCCCCTGTACAATCCCCCATCAAGGTGTCTTCTAGAAGACAGGGGTGGGAGCAGCATGCAGTCTTACACACGTGCCCGTCCCCTGTACAATCCCCCCATCAAGGTATGTCTCCTAGAAGACAGGGGTGGGAGCAGCATGCAGTCTTACACAGGTGCCCGTCCCCTGTACAATCCCCCATCAAGGTGTCTTCTAGAAGACAGGGATGGGAGAAGCATGCAGTCTTACAGCAGGTGCCCATCCCCTGTACAATCCCCCATCAAGGTATGTCTCCTAGAAGACGGGGGTGGAAACAGCATGCAGTCTTACACAGGTGCCCGCCCCCTGTACAATCCCCCATCAAGGTATGTCTCCTAGAAGACGGGGGTGGGAGCAGCATGCAGTCTTTCACAGGTGCCCGTCCCCTGTACAATCCCCCATCAAGGTATGTCTCCTAGAAGACGGGGGTGGGAGAAGCATGCAGTCTTACAGCAGGTGCTCATTTTTGTCTGCTTTGCAGTTTAACAGATGGTGTGAACAATCCTTTTGTGGTGATTACATAAATTTGCATTCAGCTGATTTTATTGTTGATTGTCCTTAAATCTTTTCATTATTTTTGTGTTGGCAAAATCCATAAACCCTTTTTCAAAGTTTCACCCAAGCCATAATGTGGAGTGAGTGAATATTATTTTCCATCAGTCTGAGTGTGCATTATTTGAGCCACATCACTGTGGCTGGTAACACCAGTCTTATAGCAGATGCCTGTAATAAGCATGTCCGAACCAGACAAACCAGTGTCTGATAGCATGAGCAACAAATGCCACTAGTGGACACAATTACACCCTCAAAGGTGCATCAGCTCTCACAGGAACAATGCAAAATAATACAAAGAATAAAACATTTTAAACAAAAGGTTTTTATTTCACACATATTTTCACCGATTTCACAAAAAAGGGTAAAATTGTGCACTTTAAGCCAGATTTCACATTCAATCACATTGCATATACAAAGGTTAGTCAGCAAGATCGGTCTTTGTAGAATCACATGACATCTATGAAACAAAGTTGTGAAAGCAATATTATCAAAATACTTTGTCATTGTTTTCCACATTACCATTAAACGTTCCTTAACGTTCCTAAAATGGCCCTTAATAATAAACTTATTTATGATATATCTCATTTAACCTATTTCTGTTCAGATTTGATCATAGTCTCTTTTGATATTCTTTTAAATATGTTCTATAGTGAATAAATGGAGGCATGACTTCAGTACATAGCACTTATCCAATGAATGGACACAAAGTACACAGAACAAGGTAAAACTGTAAATAAACCAAACATGTAATAAGTGCTGTTATTGTAAACATATAAAGTTGAAAACATGACTAGTTTTCAGAACCATTACATGGGTGTGTCCAAAAACCTGTCAATGTGTCTTCCACTCAATCAGTTTCCAGTCTGTATATTTAAATCTAACTAATCATCCTAAGTTTCATCACCTCCCCACCACTTCCTCCATTAGACAATCTGCCTACACCCAATCCCGGCCTACAAACAGAATGCTGTAAAGTATTAACGTTGATACCCTGAATGTAACATGTTTGTAAGTGTGAAACACATCTGGTTGTGGACTTAGAGCCAATATTATTCGTTAATGTTCAAGGGTTGGGGTTAGGGCTAGGTTAACCCTTACCCTAACACTAAACATATCTGGTTGTAGACTTATAGCCAATATTATTCATTAATGTTCAAGAAATTGTGTATACTTTCACTTAATGTACTACCCTTTTAACAATGAAGACATTGTATGAGAATAAATATTCCTCGAATCTAAACATGATCACTTCCAAATTTTAAATTTCCAGTTTAGTTCATCTGGAATGAATACATCGCAAACATACGACTATTTAATAGATCTATTACAGTTACATTCCTGATCAAACTAGTATGCGTTTAAAAATGGCTTATTATGACAAAGACGATAACAAAAACAAGACATGAAAATATTAACAGAAAAGGGAATGTTCAAGTGATCATGAAAAATGGATAAAGTAAAAATACATAACTATAAAAACATGACAATATGCCAACCTTATATACCTTAACTGTGCACTTTGAGCAGTGCGCTATTCATTATGATACACAGCGGTTGTCTCCCCTTGATGCCGTCTCATGGACAGACCTTCAACAGTACACAGATCATGTGCCACAGAAATGCAGTGAACAAAAAGCATTAAAAAAGGCACATAATGTTCAATTGTAGGACACATAACTAGGGTATATATACAATCAGTTGCTAGCAATCACAGCAAGAAGCATCGGGATCCAAACCTGCCACAATCTGGCAGCCAATCACAAGTGGTCTTTACAAAGCCCTGACCAATCACTATGGCTCTTCAAATTAACACTTCAGTCCAAATGGTGAAAGAATTTGGTCAGTCATGTATGGTTATCAGTTGGTATTATAAAACTTTCAAAATTTCAAATATTAGAGCCATTTAAATCTGACAACCCAGCTTACCTACTATCTGGTTAACAGAATAAAAATAGTTATACAGATCTTTCAATAAAGACAACTAATTTTGAAGTTTATATATTGTCACGCCACCCTGATCTGGACATCAAACAGACTTGCAACACTCAAAACGAATGTACAAATTCCATTTTGTTCAACCACCCTTCTGATAAAAATCACAGACAAAAGCTATCAAACTGACCTAGGTGAACAAAAATAGTTTTTAAAGGGCTGAATTTACTTCAAAATCACAGAAGCATGAACAGGACTGCATACATTTAGTTCAACTAGGATGTCATAAAAATACATATCTTGTATGAACGTTGCCAGTTACATCTTGAAGTATATTTACTTCCTCAGGATATCACTGAATGATTGTAAATCACTCATGCCTACAAGCAAGCAGTGTCAGAAAGTCACACATTGGAATAAATCTGTGGGAACAAAAACAACAAAATAGAAAGAAAAAAACAAAGACCAAATTTCGATGGTTTACCTGAAATAGCAATTTCTTAACAACATAATAAACACACAACACATAATGACACAACCAAATACAATATTAATCTATAACACCAATGTGGCAAACAGAAGAACGACATGTCAGATCTTTAAATATTATGTTAATAGTTCACAACTTCAACAAAAAATCTAGATATCAAACTCATGCTGAACAAATTGGAATAATGTAATTTGATATTGAATTGATCCTGAATGAATTATCCGAGATGGCGTGTCTCTCCTTCACCTATGGTCCAAATGGTTTGTACACTAGCTATCTCTACTCTCATGTTGAAGGTCTATACTGTCCTAGATCTACGTCTACATATGTAAAGCTCTCCCTTTGCTATACCTACACTGCCAGCTACACGCAAACAGGTCAGTATACAAACAACACAGTAACAGCTGAGGACGTGTACCCGCATGACTGCACTCAATTAACACTAATTGAAAAAGTGCTCATGAAAATTGCATTTGCAATGAATACCATCAATATACAATATAAATTTCCGTGAAACAATATGACTATAAAATCAAGTCAAGGTGAAAAAACAACTTTTTGGACAGTAGTGCCCAATAAATTCAAAGACTGGTATCATAAAATGATAAAAATATTTGCAACTTTAGCACAATGTCTCAAAGCATTTTCACATCTATCAAATAGATATTCGACATAAATTTGCAGTACTTTTGTTAAGATATATGCACACACATGACAAACACTGGTGATTGGTCACAACCTACTTCTGACATGTTTGCCTTTGACAAGATAGTACAGCATTGATAAATAACATCTACACAACAAAATGGATACATTAAGATGATGACAGGATGATGTGAATATGTTACTGTGTTCCGGTTCAAGATACTAGAAGCAAACGATGAGGTATGCTCACTGTGTCACTAGTGCAAAGTATGATAGGGGACTTAACTCTTGTATTTACCTCCCCTTCTTGTCCCAGAATGAGTTGTCTCCCTTCATAGAGTGCAGACAGTTGATGATTAATGAATGATTTTCTATAATCATGATCTATATTTCCCTTCCTTATCTAGGTTTTTTCACACAGTATGGGGTACTCCTTTACATGTTGGGATTGGAAGGTTAAAATCGTAACTTCAAATACAAATCTCACGATCTTGGTTGAGCTGTAAATGACATTTCATAAAATCGTCTAACCATACATTCTCAAAATCCTTTAGAGGTCTTGCTTGTTCATAGAGCTAAACGTTGTTCTTAAAATAGATATGTGGGGAATTAACATTGCATGTTGTGGTGTTCAGTTTTCTATAAAGGCAATAACGTGGCTGTTGACTGGGCCTTTAAATGTACACTGTACTTGATGCAGTTCGCCGTTGATGATGCGAATAGATGTTGGCAGGGAGCTGAGGAGGAAGTTGCTGAAGACGCCTCCAGCTACAAGTGTCTTTTTCAGCGGCTGTGGCTTCCAGTCCCGGTCTGTCAGGCTGGATCCTGCAGGAAAACCATCAAAATAGTTAACATTGTTAAGACTTCTGAGAAAACTACCTCTATTATATCATTGCAATAACTCCTTTTGGCTGTCATCACACAATAAAATCGATGAGTTTATAGTGTGATGATTTCCAACAGAAGTCCTCTTCCCTGTTGACTATCTGTAACCAGTTGTAAAAGTAATAGTATCTTGCGAACTGGGCCTCTTTGAGGACAAACATAGGCATTGCAGGAGCAAATTGGGCTGAAGATTTATACAGTGGGAGGATGTGGAACTCACACACAAGTACACCACAGATACTTTACTGTGTGCAAAATAGTAAAGTTTGGACATTGAGGGAGCATCTCTCACAGAGTTGCAGTTGCTAAGGACCTGTCTATTATTACAGAGGGGTGGGTGGGTGGTATTTTGGACGACCCTCCCCATGTTCAAGTACATTTTACATGAACACTCCCCCCCCCCCTTTAAAGACTAAATGCAAAATCATCTAATATTTTATTATAAAAGGTCCTTTTGTCATGATCCTCACCAAGTATATGTTTTATAAATGGCCGCCCCAGGATGGAACATTACAAAAAATACCTTTGACCTTGTCCAGTTTGCCATTAGTGAGACTGAGGAAGAAGATATCGTCATCATCAGCGGACGTCATTACAACATCATACCCAGGATGTACGGCAGAAGAGAAGAAGGCCACATCGCTGATGCTGCAGCTCAGAGTCACCTCAAACTCAGACTCCAGGTTACCTAAACAGTAATAAGTGTTTTTACCACATAGCATGTCAACATACACTCCTAATGAAACTTGTATTGTCACAGGTCGCCCTTACTTAAAATTGATTGATCATTGATTGTTGTTTAAAGGACCGCCTCCGTGGTCTAATGGTAGAGCGTCCGCCCGGAGAGCGGAAGGTCCGGGGTTCGATCCCCAGCCGCGTCACACCAAAAGACGTTAAAAGATGGTACTTGTTGTTACCCTGTCTGGCGCTCGGCATTAAGGGGCTAAAACAAGGACTGGTCGGCTCGGAGTCAGTATACTGTGTCTGAGTGGGGTATTCATGTTAAACTGCGGCATGGTATCTCAGTGTGCTAGCACTATAAATCGGCATCAGTCCGGACTAGTACAAGCATCCACACACACACATACACGTGCATGCACGTCGCTATATAAGTGCAATAATCTTGGACGCGACGTTAAACCCCATATCACCTCACCTTGTTTAAAGCCGCACTCAGCAATATGCCAACTACATGACAGCGACCTCCAAATAAACGAGTTTGGACCAGACACTGTAGTGACTGACATCAGGAACATCAATCCATGCAAATGGGACACAATGACACGCAATGAACCAAGTCATCCAGCCTGAACACCCAATCCATTTAGTCACCTCTTATGACAAGCATATGTTGTTGGGGACCGATATTCTTACGTGGAATCTCCATGGATTTGTTACATAACATGACAAGTTAGCAAGATAGTTTCTTGTCTAAGTGGACAACACGTACACTAAGGCTGGGACAGGTAACTCGGGTCAGGTGGGTCCTGAGTAGGACCTAGGTACCCACAGGACTACCCGGAACCCATGGTTAGTCACATGATATATTGTTTAATGACAAAAAGTCACTATAGCTCAGTGTTTACACTACAAGTACCGTATTCGACGTAATAAGCGCCCCACTCTAATAAGTGCCCACGGCGATATTTGTTAATATATTGGCTAGTGAACAATCCCAATTAGCACCCCTTCCGATTGATCAATGTACACAAGATTTATTTATTCGTGTAAAATATGCACTCGTGTGTTATATGCACCCTTAATTATGGGCAATTAAATTCTGGAAAAATATATCTGTCGTATATAAACATTTTAGGCTGTCAGCATAAACCACGAAATTTATGTCGTTTTCTGTTTTTTTTAACCAAAATATTATTCTAATAAGAGCCCCATATTTCTAATTTTGAGAGCGCCCAGGGCGCTTATTATGTCGAATACGGTAATTTCTTTCTGATGATGCACACATTCCTTTTGACTTGTATATGTTTGAGTAAAGATAAAGCTTCAGTCAACTTCAGTGTACGCATGATCTGATCATTAGTTGCATGTATAAAATAGTTTTGGCCAGGGCTGCAGTAAAACAATTCCCAATCAGACATTTTGTTCCCAACTCTTGTGACCTGCAGTGGGTACCCGGGTAGGGTTGGGTAATAGGGGGTCGGGTCACCAGGTACAGTAAACTACAGTTATAATGAACTCGATGGGACCACTAATTTAGTTCGTAACAACCATAGTTCGTTATAAGCACATATACAACATTTATACAACAAATGGTCAGGACCACAAAATAAGTTCTGTAAGTCGTTATAAGCCTGTTCGTTATAACCGTTGTTTACTGTAGTAAATTTGGTCTCGTCCCAGGCCTAAAGTACACATTCCACGCAAATAAGTGGGGAATAATCCACGAAAAGAAGTGAATGAAAACAACACCCCGATTAAGGATGTCCTACCATCATCTGAAACCGTCAAGACAGAGACTTTGCCATAGAAGTCATCCACAGTGACGATGTGCTTGGAGTCAGGTGCAACGAAGGGTTTGCCTGGGATGGCGGTCTTGGAGATGATGGTGTCGGTGAGGTAGTCCATCAGTAGCTGGATGGTCTCATGGGTGGATTTGGACACACACTGGACGATCACATGTCCACCTGTAACACACAAACACACATCTCAATATGACTGTCACTCCACCTGTGTAGACGCAGCAAAACTCACCAGTTATACCTTGTTCCTCTTTGTGACCTTGCCACTTCAAGCCTGATTGACATTAAGCATATTCCACTTGCAGAGAACCTTGAACCATCTAAGACATATGGAGTTATCTCCAGCACCATTACATTACATGAAACCATTATGGTGACGTCAAGCTATTGTTCTTGCAGTTGATTCTGAGGCAGTAACCTGGCTATTCTGAATATGCAGTGACAAAGATACAAAAGGAGTACTGACTCACCGCTAGACAAAAGGAGTACTGACTCACCAATTTTTTGTTTGTTTGTTTGTTTGTTGTTTAACGCAGCACTGTAAATAATCGAGTCTGTACCAGACAATCCAGTGATTGACATGATGAGCATTGATCTACGAAATTGGTATACGATAACCTGTATCAGCCAAGTCAGCGATCCCGTTGGTCGCCTTTTACCGCAAGCATGGGTTGCTGAAGACCTATTATACCCCGCATCTTCACAAGTGACTCACCAGTAGCAGTAGGACAGTACTGACTCACCGATACCCACAAAGGGAATACTGACTCAACGATAAGTATAAAGGTACTACAGAATCATCAACAGGTACAAAGGAAGATATGACTCACTGATAGGTACAAAGGGAGAATTGACTCACCGATAGGTACGAAGGAGACACTCTTGGGTACACAGTTATAGGAGGAGAAGTCGATGGCCTTGACATACTTCATGGTCTTCAGGTCAAGTTTGAACAGTCCCTGCTGGCCGTTGTGGGTGATGTAACCGTAGTTAAAGGCGTGGTGCAGGTCGTTGGTGGGCGCCAGGAACAGATCCTGAACCTGAGAGGAAGAACAACATTCCATTTACAAAGTTGAGACAATTTATGGATAACAACTTCTTTAATACAGGTCTTGCTTGATATATATATCCTTGTATAAGGATCTATACCGAAACATCGCCTTTACAGTATTAAAAGTTGTTATCCATAAATTGTGTCTACTTTGTCATCCGTCAAGTTCTAAGTAATGCCTATCAAACAATTCAACATTCATTTTAGTAAACTTCTCTAAGACAATTACAAATTGGCAAATAAGATAACCTGATCATATCTTTTACTGTGATTGGCAATGACATGTTTGTAGAATTTAGACACTCACCATATCGAACCTGTTGCCTACAGGCTGTGTATGGACTGCGTGGTGCTGGATATATTTGCTGGCGTCACGGATGACGATGATGGTTTTGAGGCTGCTGTCAGTCTCGCTGTTCCAGCAAAGAGCCCAGACTTGATCAAGATGCTCAACATAGTGCAGAGCCATGGGGGCCTTGTCTGTGTCAATCACCTGTAGAGAGACGGAACATAAGGGTTCATTCTACACTGGACACAGTGAGAGCCATGGGTCGCCTGACTGCAAAAACCCGACTGAGAGTCAAGTGGAAACACATTGTAGCGTCCATCTGTGGACAGACACTACATGCCACTGTTTTGTGGCTGACTCATGAAGCCCATGAATAGAGGTTTCAGTATGTGGTGTACAGCCCTGGTCAGTCCAAAACTTCATCATGTTCATAGTTTGGACTTGGTTTTGCGGACAGTAACACTGATCGCATAGGCTAAAAAAAATTAATAGTGTTGGTTCTCAAGCACAGCCCGCAAAACAAAACAAAAATCCTTAAATATCTAAAATCTTGAACACATGACCCTGCCAGTGAAATGCTACAATACTTCAGAACACATAATTTCGCCTTAATTATTGTAAACAAAATTTGGTTACATACTAGCTTGAACAACAACAACAAAACAAAATAAAAAAAACAACAAAAAATGCCGGACCGCACTATATTCTCAAAAGCCATTGCCTGAGAACCAATTCTTTTAATTTTTTTCAGCCATAAGAGTGTGCGCACGTTTCATGGCGTGTTATTATTGTCTATGTATTTATCTATAAAAATTGACTTCCACATGTTATTGCATTTATGGAGTCATAAATGTAAAACTGGTGCTTAGCGGATTTACAGTAAGTACAGTTTGTTTAACGTTTATACATCCACAAAGACAAAACATACTGAGGTCTCCAACCAGTGTCCCTGATGTCCAACCAACCTGAATAGGGTTCAGCTTCCGGGCTGTGTCCACCACAATGACTCTGTTGAGCCTGGGCTGACTGACATACACAAAGTCCTTGACATTGGTGACTGCGCCCCACTCGCACCCCGTGGCTGAGTCGCACATCTTGAGGGGAGCATCGATGTTGTCGGGGATGAACTTGAAGTTGCCGAACTCTGGCGTGACATCTCGCTGCAGGAGGCAGGTCTCAGGTTCGTAGACGGTGTAACCCTTGTGGTGGAACACGATGAAGGAGCCGTAAGACTTTTGGGAATATGAATCTGCAAGAAGAACAGGGTCTATTAAATAAATGGACATGTTTATCAATGAATTGTCACCCAGAACCGCATGCAAAATTTGCTAAAATGCCTTTGAAAATGGCCTCTTGTAATATTGTGAGGCATAATTTGTATTAAACTGAAAACAAAGAGCCAGCTCAACACTGAAACATATTTTAGTCAAAGTACCTAAACCGTTTCCTGGGATTAGTCCCAGTGAACATATTTCATCCACCTTGGATGAGTGAGTGAGTTGGATTTAACACCGCTTTTAACAGTATTCCAGTCATATCATGGTGTGTCAGCTTCATGTGGGAGGAAAGCCCAAAGTGATGCATGTCTTAGACGTTGACCACTTCATTGAAACCCACAAGCATGGGTATGGTGCTGACAAACCTAGAAACATAATCGGGGCAAACCGGTATTCGAACCAACAATCATAGATTTCTGGCATGCCCAAGGGATGCAACTCTGGACAGCGAATCGCGGCGCCTTCGATGACTGGACACCTGTGCCGTCCATCAATCTTGGAGAGAAGTCATGAAGTTTTGTGCTGCCGTATGTTAGGTCGAAAGAACTGAATGATGACTAGTCAACAAGATCAAACCTCTTTCTTATGTACCTAGACTTGATGAAGTAATTATTATTACCTATTGATATATATTAAAGTTTATGAAGTAATTATATATTTAACCTTTCTTGTTATTATACAAGGTTGGCTCGGGGATGTTACAGCTTAGTCAACAGTTGTTATTCGTAACTATAAACTGACTTGTCCAGTCATTACAGCCCTATGCAACATCTAAGTCTAACTAAACCCTTTTAACGAGTAAGGATTTGTTCGTTTGTTTGTTTGTTGACTGACTGCATTATTCCAGCTATATGACAGTGATCAGTATATAATCGAGCCTGGACCAGAAAGTGATGGACATCATAAGCATCGTTGTACACAATTAGGATACGATGACATGCATCAACCAAGTCTTCAAACCGGACCAATCTCTCCTGTTAGTAGGAAGCAGAGGTACTGTAAGTCCCCATGATCCCCAGCGAGGTGGCCTAGTTTTGGTTGCTGGTGGCCTATAGCCCGTGTTTTAAACTGTATTATATTGTTATGCTCAAATATGTTTCATAAATTGTTCTTAAATATAGTATGCATGAATTGATTTTAGATATTCCTTTGCTTACATGACTCAATTGTTAACATATTAAACTTGGTCTCGTCGCTATATGGCCGAAATAATGCCGATGCGACGTTAAATTTTAACTCACTCACTCACTCACTGTTAGTAGCCTCTTATGATAAGCATGGGCTGCTGAGGACCAGTTCAAACCCAATGGTCATGGTGGCACAAGTATGGACTCACAAGAGTTTGTCTTGTTTGGGTTCTGTATGAAGATGGAGGCCACGTCATCAGATCGGCCGGCCTGGTTGTTGGCAATACACTTGTAGGCACCGGTGTCCCTCAGATAGTCAGCCTTGTGCACTGTCAGGGTGCCATTCTCATCTGAAGCAAAGCAACACATCTCTTATTCGACAAGTCATATCTATTGATTTGGTAGATTTGTTTGGTTCTTGTTAACACCGCACTCAGCAATATTGCAGCTATATGATGGCAGTTAGTAAATAATCAAGTCTGGACAAGACAATCCAGCGATTGATATCTTGAGCTTCGACAGTTGGAATTTGATGACATGCATCAACCAAGTCAGTGAGCCTGACCTGCCAATCCTGTTAGTCGCCTCTTATGACAAGCATTGCTTGCTGAAGACCTATTCTAACCCGGATCTTCACAGGTCTGTATTGGTAGAAGAGTGATGTATAAATATATATGTGATGCTCTAACTAGGAGTGATACGGCCATGTCTGATGAGGGAAGATGTCTTGTTTAAAAGCACAGTCACCAATGCCTACATCACCACAAACTGTCAGTCAACAAGTATTTGTCACAGAGTGACGAAATATCCCCCGCCATATACACCATAGTACCAAATATGAAGACAATCCAGCGATTAGTTCTTGAGATATTGTGGCAACACCGTTTTCCAACTCCAAAAACAGATTTGCCTGCTGTGACCTTGAAAATGGGGTCAAGGTCACCAAATCTGACAGGTGTATGCGGTGTCTGTATATACATCATAGTTCCAAATATGAAGACAATCCAGTGATTAGTTCTTGAGATATCGCGGCAACACCATTTTCTAACTCCAAAAGCAGATTTGCCTGCTGTGACCTTGAAAATCGGGTCAAGGTCACCAAAACCGACTGGTGTCTGCGGTGTCTGTATATACACCATAGTTCCAAATATGAAGACAATCGAGAGGTTTAGTTCTTGAGATATCGCGGCAACACCGTTTTCCAACTCTAAAAGCAGATTTGTCTGCTGTGACCTTGAAAATGGGATCAAGGTCACCAAAACCGACTGGTGTCTGCGGAGTCTGTATATACACCATAGTTCCAAATATGAAGACAATCCAGTGTTTAGTTCTTGAGATATCGCGGCAACACCGTTTTCCAACTCTAAAAGCAGATTTGTCTGCTGTGACCTTGAAAATGGGATCAAGGTCACCAAAACCGACTGGTGTCTGCGGAGTCTGTATATACACCAAATATGAAGTTCCAAATATGAAGACAATCCAGTGTTTAGTTCTTGAGATATCGCGGCAACAAACAGGTGGGACGGACGGACGGACGGACGGACGGACGGACGGACGTACGGACGGTCGTGAATACTATATCCCCCGCTTCGCGCTTTCGCGCGGCGGGGGATAAAAAGCCAGGAACAGTTGAACATGAAGCCCAACTGAGACCTATGCTTTACTAGATTCCCAACTGGCATCTGTTCTTTCCTAGATTCCCAACTGAGACCTATGCTTTCCTAGATTCCAAACTGGCATCTGTTCTTTCCTAGATTCCCAACTGGCATCTGTTCTTTCCTAGATTCCCACCTGGCATCTGTTCTCGAGATTCCCAACTGAGACCTATGCTTTCCTTGATTCCCAACTGGCATCTATTCTTCCAAAGATTCCAAACTGGCATCTATGCTTCCCCAGATTCCCAACTGAGACCTATACTTTCCTAGATTCCCAACTGGCATCTGTTCTTCCCTAGATTCCCAACTGGCATCTGTTATTCCCTAGATTCCCAACTGGCATCTATTCTTCCAAAGATTCCAAACTGGCATCCATGCTTCCCCAGATTCCCAACTGAGACCTATGCTTTCCTAGATTCCCAACTGGCATCTGTTCTTCCCTAGATTCCCAACTGGCATCTGTTATTCCCTAGATTCCCAACTGGCATCTGTTCTTTCCTAGATTCCCAACTGGCATCTGTTCTTTCCTAGATTCCCAACTGGCATCTGTTCTTTCCTAGATTCCCACCTGGCATCTGTTCTCGAGATTCCCAACTGAGACCTATGCTTTCCTTGATTCCCAACTGGCATCTATTCTTCCAAAGATTCCAAACTGGCATCCATGCTTCCCCAGATTCCCAACTGAGACCTATGCTTTCCTAGATTCCCAACTGGCATCTGTTCTTCCCTAGATTCCCAACTGGCATCTGTTATTCCCTAGATTCCCAACTGGCATCTATTCTTCCAAAGATTCCAAACTGGCATCCATGCTTCCCCAGATTCCCAACTGAGACCTATGCTTTCCTAGATTCCCAACTGGCATCTGTTCTTCCCTAGATTCCCAACTGGCATCTGTTATTCCCTAGATTCCCAACTGGCATCTGTTCTTTCCTAGATTCCCAACTGGCATCTGTTCTTTCCTAGATTCCCAACTGGCATCTGTTCTTTCCTAGATTCCCAACTGGCATCTGTTCTTTCCTAGATTCCCAACTGGCATCTGTTCTCGAGATTCCCAACTGAGACCTATGCTTTCCTTGATTCCCAACTGGCATCTATTCTTCCAAAGATTCCAAACTGGCATCTATGCCTCCCCAGATTCCCAACTGAGACCTATGCTTTCCTAGATTCCCAACTGGCATCTGTTCTTCCCTAGATTCCCAACTGGCATCTGTTATTCCCTAGATTCCCAACTGGCATCTGTTATTCCCTAGATTCCCAACTGGCATCTGTTATTCCCTAGATTCCCAACTGGCATCTATTCTTCCAAAGATTCCAAACTGGCATCCATGCTTCCCCAGATTCCCAACTGAGACCTATGCTTTCCTAGATTCCCAACTGGCATCTGTTCTTCCCTAGATTCCCAACTGAGACCTATGCTTTCCTAGATTCCCAACTGGCATCTGTTCTTCCCTAGATTCCCAACTGGCATCTGTTATTCCCTAGATTCCCAACTGGCATCTGTTATTCCCTAGATTCCCAACTGGCATCTGTTATTCCCTTGATTCCCAACTGGCATCCATGCTTCTCCAGATTCCCAACTGAGATCTATGCTTCACTAGATTCCCAACTGAGATCTATGTTTCCAACATTCTTAACTGAGATCTATGCTTTGCTAGATTCCCAAATGGATGTTCTCAGTACAATGTCTTCGAAGTTATTTCCACCATATGTTCATTGCAAAAATAATCAAATGTTAGTGGATTTACTGAAAAAAATCCAGCCTAAATTCACAGACTGTGAGTTAATTTTGAGCATTACACAAAGATTATTTAGGAACAAGTAGCCACTGTCAAAACCAAAAATGCCATAATGGAAATTAATTCTCCACATACGAGTTCTGACGAAATGGTTAGGTGTATCCGGAATGGACATCTCGTTGACCTCCCAGCTGATCTTTGGCTTTGGGACCCCCTCTGCATGACACTTGATGACCACATCCGAGTTGGACTGCATCAGTTGTGACGATGGCGAGATACGGACCAGAGGGGGCACTGAAACAGACACAGCATCACCATCATCAACATGTCTCCCATTGATTATCAACTGTCTGAAACAGTACACGGAGTTGGTAAATCTGAAGTTATACTCTTGCCGTTGCAATGTCCTTTCGATTCTTGTTCTAATCTTAAAATGCATCAGAAATTTTCAACAAAGATGTTTCTTGCCAAAGAACCAAAATTATTCGATACACGCAACAGGTTTAGACAGTGCCAGTAATCCGTTAGTCTGAGATTATTGAAAGTCTGGAGGGACTAGTTGTTTCTCCAAACAATCCAGTAAAGTTACATAGAACCCACTCTGCACTTTGAGATTATGTATCTGCTGAACCAAAGGGTTGTTGATGTCCTCGCAGGTGTAGTTTCCCATGTGGTGCACCCCGACCTTGGAGAAAAACAGAGATCCATCCTCGAAAACCTGAAACAACACATGACAATATTAGGAGTAATAGCAGGAGTGAGCAAGTATGGTTTTACATCACTGTTAACAACATTCCGGCAATATCACAGAGCGAAACACCAGAAATGGGGTTCACACATTATACCACATAGGGAATCAAACCCCAAGCATTCGCGGTGAGGAGCAAAAGCTTTAACCACTATACTACCCCACCAATCCTTACATTATCAGGAAGACAAAAAGGTAAACTGAAGTACAGTTCCTGAAGCTTCCTTGGATGCCACTTAGGTTTCCATAACAACACGGAACAGAGAAATGGTCTTTTTCAATCTAGTGGCACGAGAAAGGGGGAAATCTAAAGTGACCTTCACATCCACTTCAATACGTTGCAATTTTCTTTTGAGAAAGATAATTGAACATCTTCTTTTGATATGATCATTAATTATTTTATGGAGCACCTGGATGCAACTGTTTTCATAAATAGTGGACAAATCACATGACTTAGTACAGATCTTGTGAACCGACTATGTTTTGAAAAAGACTCAGTGTTACCTGATCAACATTTTTTCACCAAGTTAAAATTATGCATTTACATGGGGTACTTCAATTTTCATACCACAAGTTGGAAAATTAAAATTGTGTCAGGGAAATCAGATGTCCATAAGGGCAACAAAGTTCACAAAAATACCCACATTCCTCAAACCTACTACTTATTCGAACGGTCTTGTATATTAAAAAGTAAAGTTCTTAAATCATCTTGAATCCTACCGTGAGTTCATCATTGTTCAGTTCACGGATGTCAGTGCTAAATCTCTTCCAGACGATCTCCTCTGCACCTGACACACTACACTTAAGTTCAAGGCCATTCCCAACGGTAGCCAAGGTCGGGATGACTTTCATGTCCTGCTGCAATTTCTTCACCTTCATCGAACCTGAAGAAAGAATGTCGACATCCTATAACTACGTTGGAAAAAGACCAAAATCTTTTTTCCCAATTTCAGCACATCAAACAGTAGCCTGTGGCCTAACTAGAACCTTGTTGGCAAATAATTATGTCTGCATCAAAGGATGCTGATTGATTGCAGCATAGTTGTCTTTGCAGGAAGATTCAACAAACTATTTAAATACTTCAGCTGGATACAGGAAATTGCTGAGGCTTCTTGTTTCCCAATCATGTGGTTATCATTTACCACATCCTCCATAGTCTGATGTATGTAAACATATTGATCATCACATTTATTTGAAAGGGCTTCAGATGCTCTGATGCGTACATGACCGTACCCTAATTGGTGGTCCTTCAGTTCCTTCATGCTAAAACAGATTAAGGATGAAAATTTGCAAAAAACATTAACATGTTAAGGTCATCTCTTTAAAAGTTTTTAAATAGTTTGGAAAATTTCCAAGTTAATGGCAAACAAAGTTGTGAACAGCTGAAGTCAATGGCCTAACTAAATGTGTTGTGAAGACAAGTACCATTGAAGGCAGCGATGAATTCGCTAACAGACAGTTTCCCATCAACAGGGTTGCGGTCGGCGTAGGGGATCATGTCGGAGAGGATGCAGGCGTCGGAGAGACGCTCATAGTGTTCCTTCTCCTCCATCTCTCTGGCCTCAGCATCCTCCAGGTAGAAGTCAAGGTCACGATCATAGAAGCTGAACATCAGAGTTGCCAGGTACTCGCGCTCTGAAACAGTCAAAGATCACTTGATGCTATACATGAATGACTTCTACCAGACACTGAAACATTTGTTTCCCTGGGAGAATCATTACTACTTTCCTCACCACAGCACTCAGCGATTTTTTATACTTCTTTGGGCAAATTACCAAATGGCTTAACTTTTGTTGGCAGGATATCACTGGACCTAAACTCCTGTCAGCGGTAATATGCCAATTCTTAATTGAAGTGTTCACGATGAATTTAGCTAACAGCAGTAACGTGAACGTCTATGAGGAATCAATGAGTGGCATTTTATGTCACAGTATGCAATTCTTATGCACATAACAGCAGGCAAACCAGACATGATCCACATCATCAAGAAACAACCATTCCCGGGCACCCAACGTCAGTACTCCTCAGTTGGGCCAATTCCTCTGAATATCTACTGTACAAGTCACATCATCTTCAGCTACCAACAAATACCATCAGGGACATGACACTTATGAACTCAAATGATTACAAAATTGGACTCTCTCTCTCAGAGCTAGAGTTACTAGATGACAATGATTGAAATAAAAGTAATCAACTGCTTGGGATGTAGGGATACAGAAAGTCATGATACAACACATATCACAATATGAATCACAATATGTACGATATAGTATGATACACACTGCAATATCTAATAAGGGTGTGAGGTATTACTGGTATTTCAGTAAACTGAGGTCCATTCTTTCCACTATACATATCACAATATCATTTTTTCATGCTTGATATATCGGGTGATTTCATTTTGGTACTGTCATCATGTGTTTAATGTTATATACTTGCCAAATACCTTCGGGGCTCATAGATGGCTACAAGAGTAAACATGTTGTACCATCATCTTGTTTTGTTCCATTTATGAACTTCAGTTCATACCTTAATGTATCTGATTGCTTCCGAATTAAAAAATTAGAATTATACAATATATCATGACATGTATCGCAAAATATTGTGATACACTTTAACCCTCAAATACCTATCCGTAATATCAAATGACAACCTGGTAAGTCAACTCCAAGCCACTAAATGATTAGATACCATCGTGAACCTTGCTGTCCAATGACACTGCAGATTACGGTTTCATATTTACAATGAGGGCCTCCATTCCAGTGATCTCAGTGCTACAATTGTTGTAAATCTATGTTAAAGTGGAACAGCTCACCCAGACCACCAAGATACGGGTAACTACCCATTCACAATTTAGTCACTCTTGCAACAAGCATACAACACTGGAGAGTTATTCTGCCCCAGAATCACCATTAGATAGTCCTACCTTCCTGGACTTCAGTTGGGCAGTTGGGCTCAGTGAACTTCTCACAGTGATACTGGAGCAGGCTCTGTTTGAACTTCTCATATTCCTCCCTTGTGCAATCCTTCTTCCTCTGGATACCCTTTCCTTCTACACTCTTCTCCCCATCCTCTAACATCAGGTTGGCCTTGACCTGTACGTCTTCCTTGTAAACTGGTTTTTCAGTCTGTTTGAGAGGTTGTCCCTTAGCTGAAGTTTTTGGGTAGTCATAGATTTCAGCAGAGTTGATGATGGGAGACTTGATGGCATCTTGTGGTATGTCATTGTCAATGTCAATTTCAGATCGGTCAATGGAAGGTGCTTCTGTGTTCTCTTTGACCTTGACCTGTGCTTCAGCCTGTTCCTTGTCCAGCTTTTCTATAAAAATAAAAGAAAAAGTTAAAAATTTTATTCTCAAATGTAAAACTGAATAGTCAATCCAATCATCATATTGGTTGTTCAAGAATTCCCAGTTCATGTAACTGCAAGAGAAATGGATCATATTGCAGTAGAGCATGCAGTTGTTCAAATAAGACAAGATCTCTTGTTTCTTTGGCACCACATCAGTGCCATGTTTATGGACGGGTTCTATCAACATCAGAGCCTCGATGCCACACATTAATCAACTGACACACCAAACATTGAACACAAACACAGGAATAAAAACAGGTTTCAGAATCAGCAACACTTGTTGATAAGGCTTCCACAAATATGTCCTATCATCCAAGCAGGGCAACAGTGCAGATGTATTCCCCATTTGATACATCATAAAACAGGCAAGCCAAACTACAGACCATTACTCATAACTAATGGGCAGGAGATCTGAGCACAGCTTCATTTCAAAATTACATTTATTGCAAAACCCTCCATACATCAAATTCTGCCACTGAACTGTTGAAACCTAATGAGGCTCTGATGACCAAATCCAATCAAGGGGCCAGGAATGACAATTTGCTGTTCACCTTTTCCAGATTCATGCAAAAGATATTGTCCTAACAAAACCATAACTTTCGTAATGAAGCGTACATATCCAATTCGTTTCTGATTTAGCTCAGTTTTTAAAGTCTAGAGAAGGTAATAATTCCATCCAATGAATAGACTACAGCCAGCCATTACTCTTCCAGTTTCTATTTTTTCATGTCACTATCGGTGATTTATTGAGCTGCAATTCAGAGGCAATTCTCCGTACATGGCGCACAAGGACCCCCACGAAAATCAATGGTGACGGTCTCCTCTTCTGCATATTGGACTGGATATCTTATGAACCTAAGACAGAGTCATTAACCCCACACATGCACAGCATGGGGGAACTTCTCTTCCTGGTGCAAGACCAGAAATAAACAAAGTTTTGACATATTGATCGGATGACAACAAAGTTTTGCATTGTTACAATAATGCATGGGTAAAATAAATGACAAATGTTTTGATGTACACGATAACGAACATATTCTCATTCATTGGTTTGGCCAGAATGCTTTTTCCAAGATGATGGGCGATACGAGTTATGAACTGTTCAAAATGTCACATGGATGTAACAAACAGAGCTATTTCTTTGAGAAAATCAATTCTGATAGTTTACCAATTCAAATCATCCATTGCGAATGAAGAGGGTTTTACACTAAAGTTGCAGTGTGTGATCAGCCTGATCCAAACAATCCAGTGGCCATGGGGGTTGAACCAGACAATCCAGTGGGGTTTTGGGGTTGAAGCAAACAATCCAGTGGCCATGGGGGTTGAATCAAACAATCCAGTGGCCATGGGGGTTGAACCAGACATTCCAGTGGCCATGGGGGTTGAACCAGACAATCCTGTGGCCATGGGGGTTGAACCAGACAATCCAGTGGCCATGGGGATTGAACCAGACAATCCAGTGGCCATGGGGGTTGAACCAGACAATCTAGTGGCCATGGGGGTTGAACCAGACAATCCAGTGGCCATGGGGGTTGAACCAGATAATCTAGTTGTTGGTTGAAGGTAGCACCAAGGATGGGCACAACAGCTTTGGGATTGAATAAAACAAATCAAGTATGGATTTGAATCTTACAGGAAAAAGATTTGACTTAATCCTATTGTACATATTTCAACACCAAATTGTCCTAACCCAACAAATGAAGGGAGATACATGTTGACGACAAGATTTAAATGTAAATCATCACAGTGAACAAACTTGCCTACAAATTCTGATGACATCGATATGTGCAATAAGGTAATGCTGTGGTCTGATCCCATAAAATGATGTAATTTGGTAACTGAAAAACACATTTGGCATTTCTTTTTTCACTTAATAATTGCAGTGCAAAGTGCTAAGTGGAACAAAACATAAATAAAAAAACCTATCATAATTTCTATGCCATAGTCCTTGAGCCAGATAAATACCTTGCATCATCACTAAACTGCCATGGTTCAGTGCGGATATCAAATTTTACAGACTATGAAACATCGCTACACAAATGGACAAATCATGCATTTTGTATGAAATATCAATTCTTTGGACAAATACAATTTTACACTTTATGGGTCATTCCTGTCAAGTTCAAAGTTGTTTCAACTGACAAAATAATTGGAGGGAATGCTTTAATTTACTTTAACTAGACACAAAAGTTATTTTGAGACACCAAAGAAAGTTGTTTTGAAATGGCTCCAAGTTAGACCGATGCCTAGCCTCCTGACTTCTGTCGCATCATGCCATTATGGTAATAGAATTTGAGGTAAGATATGAACGTCTGGTTGCCATGACTACACATTAATTTCAGATCTGTTTCTTGTGTTCCATCAATCATATATGCTCTTAAACATTAAGCATCCATTTCATCAAAACCTGATAATCCTTTACTGAGAAGATGAGACATTAAACTAATGGGATATTGAGCATCAGTCAATGTATTAAACAAACTGATATAATACACGTATATATAGTATTCAAGATTCAAAAATATACTGAACCGCAAAAGAAACATCACCCTAAGTAACATTGCATGAAAAGCTGTCATATAAATATCTGGGTAATTTTTGGCAAAGTTTCTAAAATTTAACATTACCTTGTCCGTAAAAATGAAATTTGATGATAAAAAAACAAAGCAGATGACAATAAAACCAATCACCCAAATGCATCACGGCAACGGTCATGGTAACCTGATGCACATGAGTTCTGTGCAAATTGAAATGCACATGCGTTCCCCCATTTCTTGCCCTATAAAAATCCACCCAGGTCGGATAACGTTCATTCGTTATTGAATAGCTACCACATGCCAAGATTGACAAGAAATTAGCGACACCAAGCCCTTGGATGATTGAAAGCTGGACAAACCGCCCAGCAAGTAGGCAATGCATTTAAAGTCCACGTAAGGACCATACAGGCTCTAGAAACTGTACCAGACCACCAACACTACAGATGACCGACCACATAGTGGAAGACCAAGGGTCACCACCCAACGTCAGGGTCGTCAGATTGTGCGACTGCATCTTCAAGATCGCTTTGTTACTGCTGTGGAAAGTGCTCGACAGATCATGGGGACACACCAGCGACACACTAGTGCGGACATCTTGCGTCAACGATTGACGAGCAAACACCTCCACTGTCACAGGCCACACCGAAGATCCATTCTGACACTACGTCATCGCCAGGACCGTCTTCAGTGGGCAACACAGCACCAGCATTGGCGCCACCAGCAGTGGAGAAGAGTCCTCTTCTCAGACGAGAGCCGTTACTGTATCTCAACAGCAGATGGTAGAGAGAGAGTCTGGCGACGACGTGAGGAACATTATTCGGATGCTTGTGTTGTTGAGAGAGACTCATGGGGTGGTCCGAGCATCATGCTGTGGGGAGGAATTGGTCTTGCACAGAGGGTCGGCCCTGTGGCCTTTCAGAACATTGGTCCAGGGAGAGGCAATGGTGTCACAGCAGCTCGCAACATTGATCAAGTCTTGAGAACACACACCATACCTCATTTGGCACGTCGCTGCAACCACGAGTTTCAGCATGATAACGCCCGTGCCAACACTGCTAGAGCAATGAGAGACTTCCTCCAGCAGAATGGCATCAGAACTATGCAGTGAACCTGCCCTCAGCCCGATTTAAATCCCATTGAGCACCTGTGGGACAAGATTCAAAGACATCTGAATGACGTCTGACCAAGGCCGACAACTGCAGTTGAACTGCATCAGGTGTCCCTCAGATTGTTCTTGCAGTTGATTTTGAGCTGGGAAATCACTGACCATTGAACATGCATTTTAAGTAAACTGATGCAACTATAGGTCATTAAGCAAATTTTTTGAGAAATTATAAGTCAGCATTAACATGGTTTAAGTCAGGGAATTTGTTTATTCTGAAGTATCAATAAAATCGACTCCGGAATCAACAATTCACCCGATTTTCCATTACATCATGATAAGCCACGATTAATAAAGACCCATTTGGACCTTGAATCTAAATGGAGACTTTAAGGATAGCCGTGTTGATAGAGGAAACGTATTGTTAACAAGGAACTTGGAGATAAGTGGTGTTGAAATCAACTGATTATAGGGCCATACATCTAATTCCCCACAACAGGTCTTGGCTGTGCAATGTTTTCACACACGGTCTCCATATCACTCAGCAGTATTCCCGCTATATGATGGCACTCTGTCAATAATCGAGTCTGGACCAGACAATCCACTGATTGATTGACATCATGAACATCGATCTACATAATTGGGGTATGATGATCACCAAGTCAGCAACCCTGACCACCTGATCCCATTAGTTAATTCTTTCGACAAGCATGGGTTGCTGAAGACCAATTCCAATCCAGATCTTCAAGGGGGACAAACATGGGTTGCTGAAGACCAATTCTAACCTTGATCTTCCAGGGGGGACAAGCATGGGTTGCTGAAGATCAATTCTAACCTTGATCTTCCTGGGGGGACAAGCATGGGTTGCTTAAGACCAATTCTAACCTTGATCTTCCAGAGGGGACAAGCATGGGTTGCTGAAGACCAATTCTAACCTTGATCTTCCAGGGGGGAGAAGCATGGGTTGCTGAAGATCAATTCTAACCTTGATCTTCCTGGGGGGACAAGCATGGGTTGCTGAAGACCAATTCTAACTTTGATCTTGCAGGGGGGACAAGCATGGGTTGCTGAAGACCAATTCTAACCTTGATCTTCCTGGGGGGACAAGCATGGGTTGCTGAAGACCAATTCTAACCTTGATCTTTCTTCATGGGGGCCTTCCTATCAATACCCAGCCGCATTTACATCACTTAATCACTTATTCATTAAACAAGAGGATTAAGGACTGATCTATCTGGTGCTCAAACTTTTGTACGGCATGGTTATAACCATGTAATCTCTTCAGCTGCCCTACAGGAGGCTGCTGGTCTGATTATTATTTTGCATCA